GCACCCCGGGAGGCCACATGTGATGGCCACGTGCCACCCCCTGCAGGGGTTGGGGGTGGGAGAGGGACCTGGCCTGAGGGCTCCCTTGATACCACATCCATCCAGGACCACAGTTCTGGTCTGGGGTGGTTTGGGTGGGAAAAGCTTTCTGGAAAGTTCCACTGTGTGTAGCTCAGAGCTTTGCCAACCTCAGCATGCTAAGATCCCAGGGGCTCTTGTTCCCATGAGTGTTCGATGGGGGAGGGTGGCTCAGGGTCCGTGTCTCTCACATGTGCCCCTGGGTGACAGACCATGTGGCGTGGTGGCTGTGCATCCTGGGGCCAGCACACTGCACACTGCCCATCTAGCTTTGTCCCTATGGGGTCCCCACATAGCAGAGTTTCCCGTACCGCCCCCGGAGGAGACAGAGTCCTGGCCTGGGCCCCAGGGATGTGTGCAGCTCAGATCATCCCCCACGAGGCTGATGCTCCTGCAGGAAGAGGGTCAGTGCAGACTCCGGACGCTGGTGGAGTCTGCCGCAGGTGCCCTGAGGGCCGCGGAATCTTCTGAACAACCATGCTCCCCCGCAACTCCCCATCCTGCGGAGCACACCCCAGCCCTCAGTGTCCCTGCCTGTGCTCATGGGGCTCCCAAAGGCTGCCAGGGCAGCTCAGGTCCTTGATGTCGCAGAGTGACTGGCTGAATGCCAAAGGGCTGCACACCTTTGCTCCAAGGCCACCCTTGCCTGGGGCTGGACAGGTCCATGCCCCACCCCCCGGATCACCCACCAACCTGCCTCTCTCCTGGCTGTGTTTTCAGGGTGTCTCTTACAAGCGGTGCCGAAGGGGGCTTTGGTTGTGGCCCCCATCTCCCAGGCTGTGGATGGAAGTGCCGCCCACCCACACTTGTTCTGCAGGCTGACGCAGCTCCGTGTTTACTTTTTGTTCAGCTGCACTGCTGCTTCACCCTCTGGCCACCCCCCAGCCTTGATGGTGCTTGCTGTCTTGTTCTCCCCAGCCTCCACCCACCCCCTTCTACTTTGCTAGTGCCTGCTGGCCAGCACGAGGCCGCTGGACTCCTGCTGAGGCGGATTGAAGCACCCAGGTCTCCCCCACAAGGCCCTGCCTCTCCACTCTCTCTGTCCACCTCCCTCCTACCAGAAGAGACATTAAAAGGTTCTGTCTCCTGCGCCCACCCTTTACTTCTCTACATTTGTACCCTGCTAAGTCTGAGTGTGTTGTTTTTATTCCAGCCTAGCTCCGATTTGCCTGATGGTGCCCAGCTTAGGAGCCCAGGAGCTGCACCCCGTGACCACAGGACACGTCCCTTCATCACGCTGGGGTCCCTGTTGGCCTTACTTCCTGCTCTGGATCTCCATGGTGGCAGAGCTGTCTTGCGCATTTTCCCCCCAAGAGGGAATACTGCCTGGGCCTCTGTGCCCTGCTGGGCTCCTGGGTGGGTCCTTCCCTGCCCTGATGGGTAGAGCCCCAGGGGGCACCAGCCTGGGTCTCTCTCCCCTGTCTCCTCTCTCACTGAGGTGCTGTGGGACCTACTTTCTGTCCTTGGGTCGCAGCCCTGCGGCGTGACTTCAGGCCAGGGATGCTGTCAGCTTCCGCTCGAGACACCTGTTGGAATGTCGTCCTTCAGGGCTCCTGGTGGATGTCCACCCTTCCCTCTGCATCATGAGACACTCCACAGGGCGACTGCTGGTTGTCTGTTCACCTTGAACTCCAGGGTTCTCTTTCTGAGCGTACCTGTTACTTTGTTGCTAGATGTTGCAGTGCTGGCCATAAGCAGCCTTGCATTGTTCTGTCAGATCTCCTTAGACCACCCCAAAGCAGGCGCTAAGCCCCCTTCACCCAAGGGTCTGAGCCTTCAGGGCCAGGCTGCAGTGCCCGCCTGGGCAGAGGACAAGTCACAGGGCGTGGGTGACAGGGCAGCCAGTTCTCCCCTGCAGCAGTGTTCTGGGGCGGGAGTGAGGACCAGCAGCCCAGCAGGAGTGGACAGCGGCCTCCAGGCTGAGGGCAGACGGAGGGCTGGCAGGGGAGGTGTCTTTCAGACACCCACAGGTTGAGACACAAAGGCCTCCCCAGTGTAGCCTGGCTACCAGGACAGTGCAAGCGAACTCCACCAGGCCATGGCAGTTTTCCACACTGGGAAAGGGTTTTATTAAAAAGGTAATTCCTCCCTCAGAGATAAACTGGAAACAATTTTTAAAAATTTATTTGGCTTGGGGCAACCTTGTGGCAAAATAGGTTGGACTGCTGTGTGCAGTACCAGCATCCTATATGGACACCGACTCAGTCCTGGCTGCTCCACTTCTGATCCAGCTCCCTGCATATGACCGGGGAAAGCAGCAGAGGATGGCTCAAGTGCTTGCTTGGGCCCCTGCACCCAGGAGGGATACCTGGACGAAGCTCCCAGCTCCTGGCCTTGGATGGGCTCAGCTGTTATTGGGGCCACTTGGGGAGTGAACCTGCAGTGGAGGATCTTTCTTTCTGTGTCTCAAACATGTAAATCTCCCATCCTGTGGTCCACCCCACAATGGACTGCAACAGGCAGTGAGGGGCCGGAAAATGAGATGAATGAGCTTCCGGGGGTCCCTGAGGTAGTGAGGACGGTGGACAGAATGCCACTCCTCCCAGTACCACAGGAAGCGCTGCCACTAGCAGGTGGGTGGTATTAGTGCGGGCTGCAGGTTCTGGAAGGACCAGCCAGGACAGGTACCCCAAGTGGGCTGAGGGGCCAGAGCTGGAGCAGGCATGACCTCTGCCTGCCTTCGCAGCCACACCTCCCAGACACCTGGACAGGGCCGGAGGAGGGTCCCCTGCTGGCATGCGCTGTTAAATGAATCCCGCAGCTCATCTGTGAGAGGCGCTGCAGTGATGCGCTTGAATTTTGTGCACCTAGCAGCCGCACACACGCGTGGATGTCTTCACGGACGAAAAGGGGCATTTTCTGTCGTGCTGCCGCATCAGGGGCACCCTCTGTTTCACCCCTACACCGCAGCCGGCCCTTCCACATTGCAACGGCAAATCTGAGCCGGGATGGTCAGCAGGAGTGGCGGCTGCGAGGTGCGGGTCGGCCGGGCCCGGGCGCAGAGCGTGGGGGCGGGGCCGGGCCCGAGTCCGCTCGGGCACTTTCGGCGAGAGCCGGCCGGCTCCGCCCTCCCGGGGCCTCCCGGCCGCGCAGGCGAGGCACACCGTGATTGGCGGAGGCGTGTGCCGATTGGCGGGCGCAGCGACCACTCGGCGGGCCGCATCCCCGAGGCCGCGCCGGGAGTGGAGGGCGGCCGGCGGCCCCGCCCCCGCCCCGCCCCCGGGCGCCCCGTCCCGCCCCCGGGCGCCAAGGCCGCGCTCCTCCGCGCCCTCCTCAGTGCGCCCCGCGCGCTCGGCCCGGCTTCTCCTCCGGCCGCTCCCGGGCAGCTTTGCGGCGGGCTGGGAGGCCCGAGGGCGCCGCGCGCGGGTGAGTACTGCGGGCCAGGCCGTGGGGGCCGTGGCGGCCGTGGGGCCGTGGGCAGCGGCCTGGGACGAGTCCCCGGGCGCCCCTGCCTCAGTTTACCGCTCTGAGCCGGCGGAGGACCGGACGCCCAGTGTCGCCGATGGGTGGCCCCCGGTGGTAGTGGGGGATCGGGGTTCAGGCTGACCCCGCACTCCCCGCTTCCCGCACCCCACAACCTGCTTAGGCGCGGAGGAACAACTCCTTTCCAGCTCCAGGACCCCCCTGGAACAAAAACAAAGACAGGCAGCTTGGGGGGCCCCCCTACTTGCTGCAGTGGGCCGGGCTGAAGGTGGGGGTCCCCTCTGATGGATGGTGGACGCTTTAAGCAGCTGAGCCCACCCCACCGTGTGGTTGTGCGGGAATCCGGCAGGTGCAGGTCCCGGAACAGCCTCTTTGTGGTGGCTGCAGGGCTGGGAGTTGGCTGTCTGCTGGGCGTCAGAGGCAGTGCTGCGGGCACACCCTGGGGTGAGGGCTCTGTCCACCTCCAGCCCTGCCTCCCCTCCTTGGACAGTTTGCCCTGGCATTTGGCCCAGGGATTTACCGTTTGTCCAGAGCCGCCTCTGCTGCCAGACTCCATCGCTCGGTACCCACCGGACTGCTCCGTGTGCCCTGCCCACACCCCGTCCAGGCATCCCTACGTGCCCCTCCTGGGATTCAGAGAAATTTTTTACATTCCAGATCTTTCCCTTCTCAGAAGCAGGAAGAATCAGCCAGGAGATCCCTCTCTTGCCTTGTCTCTGGAGTAGAATGGCACAGAGGGGCTCCCCATTCGGGCCAGGCCACGAGACCCCATCTCTGGCCTGTCCCAGGAGCGTGGGGGAGGGCTCCCCACTCAGCTCCGAGGTAGGTGGGCAGGCTTTAGGGCTGCACCCGAGTCCCTGCAGTGTGAGATGAACCCCAGACACCTCCCCGTGACTGGGGCCGGGCTGTATTAGGTGGAATTGTGGGCTTTTAAGTCCCCTGCTGGTGGCCTCCACGAGACCTCGAGGTGACATTTCTATAGGGCCAGCCTCGTGCCCTGCTGCTGCTTCCCTGGCACACAGAGATGTTCCAGCTACTGGTTCACTCCCCAAGGAGCCCAGGGTTCCAGTGCATGGCAGGGACCCGAGCATCGGAGCACACTGCTTCCCAGGAGGCAGCTGACTCGGAAGCAGAGTGGCCGGTGCTGTTACAGGGGACGTGTGTGTCCCAAGCCCTGGCCCAACCCACTGCACCTGTACAAAGCGCACCCCTCAGGTGATTCTTAGACCACCACATCTGCTCCCATGGGCCAGGGCCGTCTTCTGAGCCTGCCATGTCCTAGGCCCTCAGTGGGGAGTTGCCCTGCTCTCAGCTGGTCCCTCTTCCCTGGTCCTCTTCCCAGGGCTCACATCACAGCCTTAGGCCTGAGCTGCCCAGACCCCTTGCTGCCGCTCCCCAGGGTCATCCCTGGTATCCTGGCCAGGCTGAGGCCCAGCGCACTCCAGCCCTGGCAGACACTCAGCTGCTGCGGGGGAGGCCCAGCATGGTGCGGGACCCAGGTTGGCCCTCAGGCCATGCCCGCTGGCCAGTGGGGGCCAGGCCCAGAGCCAGGTGTCTGATGAGTGGTGGTCTTAGCTGACTAAGGCCCAGGCGCTTGCAGGTCCTTGCCCGCCTCTTGCTGTGGACTTACCACAGTGGGTGGAGCTGGAATGTTCCTTAGTTTGGCCCTTAATACTCTGGGCAAAAATAGGCCCCTGGGAGCCACCAAGGGCTCCCTGCCCTTGCCTTGAGGAACAGCCGTGTGTCCGGGGCTGGGTCAGGCCAGGCCAGAGTGGACGTTCCGGGCCTGGGACCTACCCGGCCTTGCTTACTCAGGACTCCATCAAAGATGGAGTATAAACCGACATTTTACCTTAATTCTAAAGGTATTACACACGCTAATTAGGGAAGCACGCCGATTAGGGAAGTGACTTTTATTTTGTTCTGTTTTGTTTTTTGAGAAAGTAGGGAAGTCGCCTGCAGTGTTTGTCCAGCGGCAGGTCTCCCGGAAGCAGTTTTACTCTCTCTCAGGAATTCACCTCCCACCCTACCCACACCCTGCAGGGTGTCCTGGGCTGTTTTAAATGTTGCTTCATCACACTGCACATTTTGTTGTCAGAGATGAAGCAGAAGGGCTGTGTGTCTCCTCACCGGTCACTCTCTAGGTGCCGCTGTGATGTTCCTGGTGATGCCCCGGGGCCAGGCTGCTGCGGGTGGAGGCCCGGGTCAACCGCCACAGACCCGTGGTGGGGATGGGGGGCTTGGGGGAGTGCGTGTCAGGAGATCTTTTAACACAGTGATGAGTGTCTGCCAGGGCTGGAGTGCGCTGGGCAGAAGGCCACAAGCCATCTTCCACGTCCCAGCTCAGTGGCTGCTGCCTGGGCACCGCAGCCTGGGGGTGGTGGCCCTCAGGCTGAGCTCCTGGGTGCTGGGGTTTGTGTTCTAATGGGATAAAAATATGCCTGTGCTCACGGGGAAAGAATGCTGGCTCTCGGCTCTTCTGGGTCTTACCCAGCATCGGCTCCAAGCCCCAGCTCTGGCCATTGCGCAGACCGGCCCCACTCCTGCCCGCATGCATGGGTCCAGTGGTGGACAGGCTGTGGTTCTGCAGCCAGATGCTGAGGGCCTGGGTCAGTTCCCAGAGAGCACCCCTTCCCAGGCCCCCTGCCCCGTTCAGGCAGCCCCTCCTGTGTGCCCTGGGACACAGCAGCCGCCTCTGGGCCCGCGGGGCCTCCATGCAGGCAGGGCCTCCCACCAGGGCATCTGGGATTCTTGTAATCCCCGTGACCAACCTCAGTCAGGGAACATTGTTTTGAATTTAGAAACTTCTGATCCAGCCTGGGCTTGGCCGTTCTCCAGGAAGCCCGCAAAGGAATCCTTCCATGTTGGTGCGGCCTTCCTAACCTGGGGCTTTGCTTCAGACGGTCCTGTTTTGACCGTAATGTCGATTGTGCAGTGTGTGGTGGGCTGGCCACAAGCCGAATGTACCTGCTGTTTTATAAGGAGCTTCCTGCCCAGGCAGGGCATGAGGCTCGGGCCTGCTTCTGACCTGCACAGGGGCTGTTTGAGAATGAAGGGCACGCAGACCGGAACCCCCAAGTTCTGTGGTGGGCCCGGATCCCATCTCTAGGGCCCTTCCAGAGCCAGGGGTGGAGCAGAAGGGCCTTGTCATCCTGGGAGACAGGCACAGGGGCCTGGGGCTCTTCCTGTGACTAATGTTTTCCAGAAACATCCACTGGACATCTGGCGGGGCCAGCTCCATGCTGGGGGCTGGGTTCAGAGGTCACTGGGCCCCTGTCTCCCTCATGCAGGTCACGAGCCCTGGTCTCACCAGTCCCTCCCAGTTGCACTGAGTGGTGGGGTTGCTCACCCCCATTATTGATGCGGACACTGAGGGAGACATAGGCTGCTGGGACCTCCTGGCTAGAGGGCACGGAGCCAAGGCCTTGGCTGGTAAGGCCTGGTTTCCAGCTGACTGGCCTCTCCCTGCTCTATGCCTAATGTGGCCGTGTGACTGCAGTGGGGAGTCATTTGGGACTCTGGGGAGCCTCCCTGGGCCCCTGAAGCCCCTCCATGTCAGCCCCGTTTTGGGCCAGTGGGGCCTTTTGTGCTGTCCTAGAACATGCATCTCACTTTGTCCCACTAAGCGTCCATTTGGTCCTCCATGGGTCAGTGTCTGGGGGTTCAAGTTGCATGACTTTGTCCTGCCGTAGGGCTGGTGTGGAAGGCTTTGGAGCCGGCCCAGTCTGGTTCTGAGTCTGGCCCCAGCAGTTGCATCCTCACCTTCTCGTTTTGTTCGACTTTGAGCTGGGGTTGAGTTGCCCGAGACCACTTGTCATTAAAACTCAGAGATGTATTCTCCGTGTCCTAGCCAGCAGGCGGGGTTCAGGGCATGGGCAGGGCTGGTCCCTTCTGTAGGCGCTCCTGCCCCTCCAGGCCGTGGTGTCCCTGGGTCCGTGGTCGCTCGGCCTCCTCCCATCTGTCTGGCTCCTCATATAAGGACCCTGATCGTTGGATTCAGGCTGCTCTGGCCCAGGATGGTCCGTTTAAGAGCTGTCACTGTGTCACAGCTTTCAAATCACCCCTTTCACTGCCACGAGGGGACAGGGTGTGTGGGAGCCCGCACGCCCGGCCCCACTCAGTTCTGGGTGGATGTCTCAGTGAGCTGCTCAGACGAGGTACATGCAGCCACCAGCGTGGCGAGCTCACAGTTGCTGTGGAACCACTTGACCTTGAGTGGATGTCTGTGATGGAGGCTTGCCTGGAGGGGCAGCGGGCAGGTGAGTGAGGTCTCCCATGTGTACCCTTTGCTGCCGCTCACCCCAGGCTGGAAGCTTGGGCAGGCGGATTTGGGCACCTGGCATGTATCTGACCATGGCTTTTCTTGCAGGCAGCATGGACCCCGGCGCCTCTGCTCCAAGCCCCTCCCACCCACAGCCTCCGACTGCACCACAGCCCCAGGCCCGCTCTTGGCTCAACGCCACTGCTCCCTCAGTGGAACAGGAGAGGGACGAGGCACCCCAAGTCCCGGGGGCCCAGAGCAACCCTGGAGCAGGTGCTGGAGATGCGGCTGCCGCTGCCAAGCCACGAGCCTCACGCTCCAGGAGCAGAGAAGGAATGGATGGGACAGGTAAGGGGGCAGGGCTAGAAGGCCCAGTGGGCTCAGCCAGGCCAGGGCTGGGGCGTGAAGGTGGGGTGGGGTGGGGTGAAGGTGGGGTGGGCGTGAAGGTGGGGTGGGATGAAGGTGGGGTGGGCATGAAGGTGGGGTGGGCGTGTGGCCCTGGAAACTGGAAGGAACCCCCCACGGGCATTGCAGGTTCTGCCACTCCACTCAGAGCCCCACCATCCCCCATAGGGTCACCTGGCTGCATTTAGCCTCCGTCTGTGTGGGGGGCTCAGTCACAGGGACCGAGGGGGAGACAAGGCCAGAGAGGCTGCAAGGGAAGATCTCGGAGCTCTGGGCTCTGGGGCGTTGGTTGAAATCCCCACCTCTTCAGGGGTCATTGCCCTCCTTCCCTGCACGCTGGCACCGTGCTAGTCTGGCTTCTCCAGTTAGGCTGCTTCCCCCTGTCCTTCGCCCTCGTGGGCGCCTCTGCCTCTTGCATTTTCTGATCTCGACCCATGCAGACAGACATGTTCTGCTGCAGCCTGGCACATGCTCACATATGCATGCACCCTGTAGCTGGGGAACTTTGTTCCTGTACACCACCGCAGGTGTCCTGGGACTCCCTCATTGCTCATAGGCAGGGGAGGGCGTGGCTTCCTTGTGCCCCCCAGGTGTTGGGGTATGAGGGAAGCAGAAAAGCCAACCTGTGCCAGCTCCCTCCAGCCAACCTGTGCCAGCTCCCCTCCTGGCCCTGTCCTCCCACCACAGCTACCCAGGGCAGCCAGGCCAACCCAGCCCGGCCTGGCCCAGCTAGCCTGGTTCAACCCACCCAGGCCCAGCCCGGCCCAACCCAGCCCAGCCTGGCCCAGCTAGCCTGGTTCAATCCACCCTAGCCCGGCCCAACCCAGCCCCGCCTGGCCCAACCCAGTGTGACCCTCCTGTCCATGCAGAGGCCTGAGCCCGTGCTGTATGCACCTGACATGTGCCAGCCTCAAGGTGCAGAGTCCAAGGGTTGTGGCAATGAGTGTCCTGAGCAGCCTGTCTCGTGCCCACAGCCTCTCTGCAGAGCAGGGTTTGCGAGCTCTGGTTGAAGGGGCCGAGGCCCCCTGGTCAGCTCTCACTGGGCAAGCCCCCTTAACCCTTGCCAACACACCCCAACTGCGGGTCTTTGTGTCTCCTAAAGGAGCGCTTCCTTCTCTGCATGGGGCTGGCGAGGCCAGGCTTCAATCTGTGTAGTGCAGATCAGGCGGCCACAGAGATACGCGGAGCCAGGAAGCAGATGTGGTCTTGGTTTGTGGTTTCCGCCCAGGAGTGAAGGGGTGTGGTAAGGAGTGAGCAGGGCCTGTTGGCCGCACAGCTGGAATGCTGTATGCTGTCTCCTGGTCACCCGGCACCAGTCCCACGGGGGACAAGCAGATCCCACCTGCAGGGCCCAGGGGCTGTGGGGAGGCCAGGGGCCTGAGTAGCCATGAGAACAGCTGTTTAGGTGGGCTGGTGGGCGGACCCCCTGGCTTCCGCAGGTAGTCTGAGTGTCAGATGTGGTGCCCCTGAGGAGCAGGGCAGGGGTGAATACAGTGGCCCCTGATCCCAAGCCGGTGCCTGGCAGGCCTTTCACTACAGTAGCCCACACAGCCCAACAGTCCTGGCCTTGGGCACTGTGGCCACCCCAAGAACAGAGGGAATGGGGGGTGAAGTAGGTGCTCCAGACTCATGAGCTCAGGGGCCTGGTCCTAAGGGGGCGTCTACGCAGGCCCTGGCGGTGGAGGACGAAGACTCAGGGCTGTCTTGGATAAGGAGTCCAAGCAGGGGAGCAGGAGGAAAGAAGTGACTGTGTCCCTGGAGGGCTGCCTGGAGGAGGCACTGAGCTGCCCCTTAGCCCGTGTCCTTGGGAATAAGAACAAAGCTGCCTGAGGGTGCCACATCTCTAGCTGCCTCAGAAAGGTTTCTGAGCTGGAACTCCAAGCTCTGCTGCTTTGTGGTCCTGGCACACACCAGCCACCTGGGCAACACTGCAGAGCCGGGGCTGCGCTTGGAAGCTCAGGTGGCCCTCAGGGGCAGACGGAGAAGGTGGTGACACCTGAGGGGTCCCAGGACCCCAAGAGTCAAGGGTCATAGAAATCTCAGGTGGAAGGGAGCACCCCTGCTGGGTGGGGGGAGCTTGATTCTCGCACCCGCCCGGACCGCTCCTGATCAGAGCCACGGGCAAGGGAGGCCCTTCGCAGCGGGTGGTGAGGGTCCTGTCATTGTAACCTGCAGTCCTGCCTTCAGCCCCGTGGGGCCTCTTAGCTCAGCACACACATGCAGACACAGGGACACAAACATATAGACACACGCACGTGCAGGGAGACCTACACATGCACACACATATACACGGATACATACACACAGGCCCACATGCAGACACAGAGACACAAACATACAGAGACCTACACGTAGACACACACATATACAGACACACAGATACACACCAACACATATACACAAATATACACAGACACACATACATAACACATGTACAGATACACACAGACACAGACATGCACACGGACACACATCGATACACACACCAGCTGAGGCCCCCACACTCGAAGTCTGCACCCCACCTCCCACAGGGGCCTGAGAACCTGTTGCATGCAGTGCTGGGGGTGAAGGCTAGGTCCACCCGTTACATGCAGTGCTAGGGGTGAAGGCTAGGTGGCACCATGGCAGAGGCAAGGCATGGGGTGGGCACAAACTGGCTGTCCCACCGTCCCCACTGGCTTCTGGAGGGGACATCGTTGACCCTGAGTCTTGCCTGTGCAGACAGAAGCTGGGGCCTGAGGGAGGTGCTGTGTGTCTCCTCACCAGCCCGCGTGGCACCTCACCAGTGTCAGTCTGTGAACAGTGTCTGTGCCAAATTCATCACAGGATGGGAGAGTCCTTCCAGCCCGTAGGTACATGCATTTTCTGTTTCCTAGTCAACTCGAGGCTGGCAAGTCCAGTATCTGGGAGAAACAAAGGCCCTAGCATCAGCTCAGAGAGCTGGGAGCTAGGCAGGGGAAAGAAGGCCACGGTCCAGGCACCCGCCCTGGACTGGCACCTGGACAAATAAGCTGGCTTCCTCACAGGCTGTGCCCACAGAGGTGATGTGGCTCACGCGTGGTCACCTGATACCCCAGTGCTGGGTCACGGTTTCTCCAGACACACCATCCCCCGAGGAGGGCCAGCCTGGGAGCCTGTGGGTTCCACGTGTCTGGCATTTCTGGGCATGCTTATGCCTGTGCTGAGCCTGCAGCCAGGGGGCAAAGCAAGGGCGGCAGGGAGGCTGGCCTGGAGGGCACAGCATGCGTGTGGGCCTGGGCCCCTCGGGCAGGGGCAGGAGCTGCTGGCTGGGCCCTGGAGCCATGCTGGAGCAGCATCCCCAGGGCTTGGGGAGTGAGGGGCAGTGCCCCTGGGCCTGGGGCCTGCGCCTTCCCCGGGGGGGCCTGCCAGTCCTGCTCCCTGTGGCCCCGCGTGCTGCCTGCCGTGGAAGCTGATTTTGGGTGGGCCGCTGTGGTCGAATGGGGAAGACAGGGCCCCAGGTGTCACTCTCTACGGGGACTAGGCATCATGTCCCCGTACTCGCCTTCTTGCACAAACATTGGGGGAACCTGTTTGTCTGCTCTGTATCCACCAAGCAGCAGGCGGTGCCCCGTGTGTCCTTGTGTGTGATATCTGACACCTGCTGAGGAGCAGTGGGCATGGTAGGGTGTAGACGGGGGCTGGCCCATGGAGATGGCTGCCTGGACCCAAGGGACTGGGTCTGTTGGTTCTCTAGAAGCTCCGTGTCTTGTCAGCCAGAACTTCCGGGAGACGATCGAGCACCAGCCACACTGGTGTGTGTGCCGTGGCCTGCCAGGCCCCTGAAGAACTGTGCAGGGGAGGTGACCTCACAGGAGGCCACTCAGCGCTGTGTAGCACATGACCTGAGCGTGTCCCCTCTACGGGGTCCCTGAGCCATAGGCGCTGTCCATGACTGTGGGCCTGCCTCGATGCCACAGTGTTAGAGACCAGGACCTGAGGAGCACACGAGGGCAAAATGGGGAACGGTGTCCTCAGAAGAGAGACCCCAGCCAGTTCCCTGGTGAGGATGCAGTGAGAGGCCCCCGGGCTCGGCAGACACGGGAGCCGCTGGCATCCTGACCTACAAGCTCTGGTCCTGCTTCTGGCGGACAGAAGTGCCTGTCCACCGTGGCCACGCAGATGAACCCAGATGGCCATGGTCAAGTGGACAGTTCATGTCCCTGGTTCTGACCAGCAGAAAATATGTCTGTCGTTGACACGGTACAGAGGACATGGACTTGTGGTCTCTTGGGATCCTGGCATCAATTGCTCTCAGCTCAGGGGCTTGCAGACCAGAGCCCCAGGATCTTTCTGGAACTCTAGTTGGGGCCCAGGGCAACAGTGGGGTTCAGGTCTGCACCCACTCTCCCCATTCACCATGCTCACCTCCATGAGCCCCAGGCTGTGTTGAGATCCCCCCAGGGGGCTGTGTCCAGACCGGGGGCCACCTGGAGCTTGCTGGGCCTGGGCTGTGCTGGCTGCCAAGGACCCGCTTTGAGACCTCCCGTCACCCCCTTCCTTGGCAGGAGACACAGAGATGCCCTTCGAAGAAGTCCTGGAGAAAGCCAAGGCCGGGGACCCCAAGGCGCAGGCGGAGGTGAGTTCAGGACACGGGACGTTGTGACTGTGGCTCCAGCCACTCGCACAGAGCTCCATGCTGGTCTGCCGGTGGGCTGTGACCTCACAGCCGCTCCCTGGGACGCACGGCTCCTCCAGGATGCCCACCCTGACTCCGCGCCTCCTTCCTCTCCACTCTCACAGCTCCTTGTGTGGGCATTCCCCTGGCCCTGCGGGGCTCATTCAGTGATGGGGCACAGACAGCCACCAGCTAACTGGGGCTCAGGGCTGTGACTGACTGCAGCATCTGCCAGGGCTGGGCTGTGTGCCTGTGCTGGAATGTGGGAGCGAGCCACAGGGCCACGCCTGGGGTAGCTCAGGAGAGTCAGGACCCCATGGACAGGGAGGGCTAGGTGGGCAAGCTGAATACAATGGTGGGGCTACCTCATCTGAGTCAGGGCTTGGGCTGCCAGCAGCTGCCTTTCCTGCCAGGCTGGCCGGCCCTGGGGGCGGGCTCCCTGCCCTGCTTCCTGGAGAGGTGGTGAGACACGCCTTGAGCAGTGGTTGATGAGCTCCGCACTGTCCCTGGTTAAGGGCCAGGGAGGACTTAAGTAGGTGACCGTGGTCACCGGGAGAGTTCTCTCTAAGGAAAAATCGTAAGTGGATCGCTTATGCCTGGTGTGCTGGTCAGGGTCTCCTGTCAGTGCCCGGCTTCTCTGTCCATCTGGAGAGTGGGCGTGTTGGGCTGCATCTTGGCTGTTGCAGGCATTCTGAGCCACACGTGGCCCTGTCTGCATAGGGTACACATATGGAGCCACGGACCGTATAGCCATGGTTGTCTATGGTCATGTCACAGGCCAGCACTGACACCCGGCCAGCTGGCCTCTCCTAGCCCTGACTTTGGGGGTCCCCTTCCTGAGAGGCACGGCCCTGAGTCACCAGCCACTGCCAGTGTGCCTCAGGCTGTCGGGAGGCAGGGTTCAAAGAAAGCAAAGAGCCTGCCGTCCCCTCCCGGGGAGGGGTGTCCGTGCGGGGCCGTGGAGGACCAAGGCCCACCCTACGGTGCAGAGCCTGCCGTCCCCTCCCTGGGAGGGGTGTCCGTGCGGGGCCGTGGAGGACCGAAGCCCCTCAGTACCCCGCCATGCAGAGCCCCGGACGATTGAGGCCACCATGTCGCCTGCAGGTTGGGAAGCATTACCTGCGCTTAGCCCACGACGCTGACGAGGAGCTCAATAACTGTACAGCCGTGTCCTGGCTCATCCTTGCTGCCAAGCAGGGCCGGCGGGAGGCCGTGAAGCTGCTTCGCCGGTGCCTGGCCGACAGGAGAGGTGGGTGGTGAGCAGGGGTCGGAAGAGGCTATGGGACAGGTACCAAGGGTGCTGCCTGTGACATGACATGCTTTGACACCGTGCAGCCAGCTCGCCTCATGCAGCTCAGCCCTGTCTTATGCCGTGTCTGCCCGCTCTCTGGGGACTTCAGGTGTTTCTGGAACTTGGAGCCACCCTGTCCCTTTGGTTCAAAATGGGCGTCTGTGCATGGGGGCTATGATGACTTTCTTCCCTTGGTTTCTGGTTCAAATTTGAGTTAAGTCTCGTGCGCATGGGTTGGGTGGCTTCACAGTGTTAGAGCCACACACTGCGCTTATCAGGGCCCTGCCCTCTCGGGAGGAGCTGCTGGCTGTGAAGGAGGAAGGGGTGTGGACATGGGACCTGCTCACTGGATGCCTGGACTGGGGCCCGTCTTCTTGGGACAGTCTGATGTGGGTCTCCAATGCTCTCAAGGGGCCTGCTCCCAGGAAGGATTGCAGAGCAGGGGTGGGCACCTGCCCTCGCGCTCAGGCCGGGCACTCTGTTGACACTGACCCAGGGAGCTAGCACCGCCTCTCCGACCCTGGCCTGCTCTGTCTGTTTCTACATAGGCAACACGGGGCAGCAGGACCTGCCCGGGGGTACAGCAGGGGTGATGGGGCAGGAACTAGCCAGGAAAGGCCTTAGCCCTGCACATAGTGGGCACTGGGTGGGCGTCGACTGTACCACGCCTGGGGAAGCCTTGCCAGATGCCCTTCTGTTCCCATGCCCGTTCTGCCCAGTTGCCCCAAGGTAGCCAGCAGACCCATTCCCCGAGTCACTGTTCTCATCCGCCTTGGAGTGGCTGTGCTGGCTCCAGGGGCTGGGGCGAGGCCTGAGCTGCCCCTCCGGCCTGAGCCCACCTGACCACTCTCCCAGGCATCACGTCGGAGAACGAGCAGGAGGTGAAGCAGTTGTCCTCCGAGACAGACCTGGAGCGGGCCGTGCGCAAGGCTGCCCTGGTCATGTACTGGAAGCTCAACCCTAAGAAGAAGAAGCAGGTGGCTGTGTCAGAGCTGCTGGAGAACGTCGGCCAGGTCAACGAGCATGGTGTGTGTGCGGCCACGGGCTGGCAGGGAGGGAGTGGGGCGGTGCATGGACCTCCTCGTGTGAACCCCGAAACCTGCCCCTGGATGGGCAGGCAGGGGCAGCCAGACCTGGCCTCACCAACAGGTGCTGAGCCTCTTCCCGTGGTGTCCCAGGTGGCCAGTGTTCTGGGAAGGCCGGGTCTGTCGCCCAAGGGACGCTGTCTGAGGGCCCTGGGGCCTGTACCTGGTAGGCTGCAGGGCTCTGTGAGCAGTCAGCCTGCCCTGACTTGCAGTCTGCTCCACCTTGTAGATGGAGGGGCACAGCCAGGGCCCGTGCCCAAGTCTCTGCAGAAGCAGCGGCGAGTACTGGAGCGCCTGGTCAGCAGCGAGTGTGAGTATGGTCACTTGCCCTCACCTGCCAGCACTGCACCTGCCCTCACCTGCCAGCCCTGCACCTGCCCTCACCTGCCAGCCCTGCACCTGCCCTCACCTGCCAGCCCTGCACCTGCCCTCACCTGCCAGCCCTCACCTGTCCTCACCTGCCAGCCCTGCACCTGCCTTCACCTGCCAGCCCTGCACCTGCCCTCACCTGCCAGCCCTGCACCTGCCCTCACCTGCCAGCCCTCACCTGTCCTCACCTGCCAGCCCTGCACCTGCCCTCACCTGCCAGCCCTGCACCTGCCTTCACCTGCCAGCCCTGCACCTGCCCTCACCTGCCAGCCCTGCACCTGCCCACCCCCCATGTTCCTACTTCCTGCTCACCTCCTGGGCACAGCCCCAGTGGTCCCTGAATTAAGTCAGGTATCCCAGGCTAGTAGTGGGACCCTCCCTGCTGCTGGGCTAAGATAGGCAAGGACTGCCCTCGTGGGCCTGAGTGAGTGGACAGGGCAAGGAGTTAGGTGCAGGTTTGGCCAGAAGAGTGCTTGAGGCATAGCCAGCAGCAGAGTGCGAGGGACCCTCCCCCAGGGTGGTTCCAGCAAGGAGTGGAGGGCAGAGCATGGGGGGGGGGGGACACCACTGAGACATCTGGGGTTGAAGAATTGAGCTTTCATCCTCCACACCCAGCTGCACATCCTGACCGTGGCTTCACCTGCGCGGGTGGGCTCCCGTGCTGTTAGATGGACCCACGAGGGATCGGGCTGCTCGGCGTGAACAGGAAGCTAGGGGGAGGCTCTCTGCCTGTGGGGGAGAGGCGCTGCCAGCTTTCACGTGGCACAACCCTTCGGGGCCAGCCCTGTGTGAGGGAAGCTCTTGGCACCCTGCCCTTGTCCATCTGCTGCTAGCTGGGGAGCCTGGCGTAAGGCACGCCCTTCGCTGCCTTCACTGGTTCTGTTCCCCAGGCTTGTTGAATAGGCCTTTGGATGGAGAGGTTAATGTGCAGTAGGTCTACGGTGAGTCATGGCGGGTGGAGGAGTTGGTGTACACACAGAACATCCTCGGGTCACGCTGGACAGAGGAGTATGTGTTAGGCCCCTGGGAATGGGGGTGAAGGGTTTAGTGGGCACTTAGTAGGCCCTCAGCAAGTGGCTGGACTTGAGGGCAGCTGTCCCCAGTGTTGTGAACAGCCAGAACAAGGCTCGAGGGATGGGGTGTCAGAGGGTACAGCAGTCTGGGGGTCCCAGGCCTGGCGGAAGAGCCGGCTTAAAGGTGTGAGGAATCACGTGTGACGAAGGCCGGGGCAGCCTGGGGCCAGCACTGGGCAAACCTGCCCTGCCCTGCAGTCCCTTGCCCTCCATCTGCCCCCGAGTTCCTGGTGCTTGTCTCAGCTGGGCCCCAGGCCGCTGTCGCCTCTCCCCTTGGGTCTGGTCCTGGTGAAGTGGCCCTTTGGGGCACGCCATACTGTTTTCTCTTGTGCCTCAGCCAAGAACTACATTGCACTGGACGACTTTGTGGAAATCACCAAGAAGTACGCCAAGGGCATCCTCCCCACCGACCTCTTCCTGCGGGGTGACGACGAGGACGACGACGAGCTGGCGGGGAAGGGCCCCGAGGACCTGCCCCTGCGCCTCAAGGTGAGCCGGCTGGCTGGGCCTGTGCTGCCACCCAGGCTGCCCAACCCTGGGGGGTGTCCTCAGGGCGCCACCAGCTCGGGGTGAGGGTGACATTGGCCAGCACATGGCATGAGATGGCCCGGGCCCTGATGTTTGCCCACAGGCACCGTGTGGGCGGCAGGGGCAAGACGAGAGCCAGGTGTCACTTAGGGGCGTAGCCCATCCCTGCAAAGTGCTGCTGTATCCCCGCTGACCCTGGATTAGGGAGGATGGGCTGGCAGCTGTGTGGGGAATGGGCACAGCCAGGCACGTGAGCTGAGTGGGCAGCAGGAGCAGGCAGTAGCAGGAAATCCAGGAATGCAAGCCCATGCTCCATTTCTTTTCCATGTGGTTGGGACTTGGGGAGTCGCTGTGGGGTATAACCCTGCAGCTCTCCCAAGGTTGCCTCCAGTTGGCACTCAGTGGGTCCGTGCCTTTGTCAGTAGAGCAGCCCTGTCCCCATGGGTGCTAGGGCCGTGGTCATGTAGCCGTGGGCAGCAGTCTCCAAGGGTAAGAGTGGGAGATGGACTCCGTCTGTGTGTGAGCTCAGCCGAGTGAGTCAGGCTCCCGGGGTCAGCCGCAGGCTGGCAGCAGGAAGTCAGCTGAATGGCACTGGGCGTGTGGGATGGCTTGGAGCAGAAGTGGGGGAGCAGGGCCGTGTGCAGGGGAGAACAGCAGCAGGAGGGACTCAGGGCCAGAGCTGGCTGAGGGGGAGGCCCAAGGAGTGTCCGGTGGCAGTGGGCGAACTGGGGCCAGGGAGCAACCAGATTGGCCAAGCAGCTGAACCAAGGGAGTGAGCAGGTGGCTCTCCTGCAGGCTCTCAGGGCTAGCCATGTCCTGAGTGGTCCACCCCGATCGTGGGAAGCTGGGGCCCCAGGAAGGGTCGGGAAGCCTGGCCTCCCTGTGGATGCCTGTCTGATGTCCTAAGCCCTAATGGTGCCTCCTATGGGTGTCGACTTTGGTGTCGTGCCAGGGCTGCAAGTCCTCCTGGGGAGGGAGTTCAGGCTTCTGAGAGGTGGTGGATGCGTGCTCATGCTGCCCCGACACAAACTCTTCCAGATCCAAGCCTACCAGTGCGTGGTGCTTGGTGCCAGTGCCCACACAGGACACACAGTTTTCTGTTCCCGAGTCCAACCTGGCCCGGCCCCGGTGTTTTCAAAACCAGACTGCCCCAGACAAGAGGCAAGGACGCTCTCAGTGTGATGGCAGGTGTGTACAGACACCGCCTTGCACTTCCTCTGACGTTACTCCCAGGACTCCTGGAGCAGGAGGCCACATCCCGGGGCAGTTACCAGGACCGCACTGGCCCTCCACGGGGGCAGATGCGGAGCGCCTGCCCACCTGCCCTGCCCCAGTGGGGTGTCCAGCTGCCACTTCCTGTCCGCACAGCCAGGTTCCTCTGCCTCACTGCAGGAAGTTGGGCATCACGCATGGAGCTGTTTCGTCTACACTGTGCCCTCTCTCCCCTCCCCTGTGCCCTGGCAAGCTGAGGCTTCCGCAGGTGCTGCCCAGACAGGTGGGGTGCATGGCAGGCTCGCCCTCCACACCTGGCTCCGTGCAGCTGCTCCCGCCCTCTGACCCGTGTTCATGTTCTGCTGTATGACCGCCGGGAGCTGCCTCTGACCTCTGCCCTGGGTGCCAGCTAAGGAGTGGACGCACGGCTGGAGGAGGGAGGGCTGCTTTGAGGGTGCCCGTGGGCAGGGGTTATGTGTCTGTTATAAGCAGCATAGAGTGTGTGTGTACACGTGCGAGGTTATAGGGGTGTGTGCATGTGTGAGGTTACAGGGGTGTGTACATGTGTGAGGTTACAGGGGTGTTTGCATGTATGGGGTTGCAGGTGTGTGTGTATGGAGTTACAGGAGTGTGTGCATGTGTGGGTTATGGGTATGCATGTGCATGTATGGGTTGGGGTGTGCACATGTATGGTGTTATATGTCTTGCAAGCAGTATGGAGTGTGTACAGGCATGTTTGGGGATCAGGTTATGTCTGTTGTAAGCAGTGTGTGTGTGCACGTTTCAGCGCGCATGCACCTGTGAGTGTGTGGACATCTGAGTCTGGGGTGGATATGCCTGTGCATCTGGTGGTGTCTGTAGGGTGTGTGTGTGTGTGCGTGTGCAGTGAGCATGGGGGTGGCAAGCTCTGCCTGCCAAGGTCTCCTGCCACCAACAAGACTTGAGGTGGCTGTTCAGGCAAGATGGGCCACACGTTGCTACACGTGGTGGTCCTGGGTTCCATCCCAAGCACTGTCCACCTGCCCCTCGTTAGAGCCCAGCCTGGCCTTGTCATGGTGACCACTGCTCAGCACATGGGGAAGCTGAGGCATGGCAGCAAGGGGTGCGGCAGAGTGGGACACGCGGGCTCTGCTCTCAGCTGGGCAACCGAGTGAGGAGCAAAATGAGAGCCACCCTGTTGGGTCCCTGCGGGTGCTCCCGGTCTCACAGGAGAGACAAGAACCCCACTGGCAGAGGGTGGTGGCAGGGAGGGACCGAGTTGTGGGCACTGTGCCCTTGCTGCCAGCCCAGCCCCACGCAGTCGCGCTGCCCTCCCCAGGTGGTGAAGTACCCACTGCATGTCATCATGGAGGTCAAGGAATACCTGATCGACGTGGCTTCCAAAGCCGGCATGCACTGGCTGTCCACCATCGTGCCCACCCACCACATCAACGCCCTGGTCTTCTTCTTCATCATCAGCAACCTCACCATCGACTTCTTCGCCTTCTTCATCCCGCTGGTGGTCTTCTACCTGTCCTTCGTGTCCATGGTGATCTGCACGCTCAAGGTCTTCCAGGACAGCAAGGCCTGGGAGAACTTCCGCACGCTCACCGACCTGCTGCTGCGCTTCGAGCCCGACCTGGACGTGGAGCAGGCCGAGGGCAACTTCGGCTGGAACCACCTGGAGCCCTATGCCCACTTCCTGCTCTCGGTCGTCTTCGTCATCTTCTCCTTCCCCGTGGCCAGCAAGGACTGCGTCCCCTGCTCCGAGCTCGCCGTGGTCGCCGCCTTCTTCACCGTCACCAGCTACATGAGCCTGAGCAGCTCGGCCGAGCCCTACACACGCCGGGCGCTGCTCACCGAGGTGGCTGCCGGGCTGCTGTCCCTCGTGCCCACGCTGCCCGTGGACGGCCACTACCTGAAGGCGCTGGGCCAGACCTTCTTCACCGTGCCCGTGGGCCCCCTGGTCGTGCTCAACGTCAGCCTCCCGTGCCTGCTCTATGTCTACCTCCTGTACCTCTTCTTCCGCATGGCCCAGCTGCGCAGCTTCAAGGGCACCTACTGCTACCTGGTCCCCTACCTGGTCTGCTTCATGTGGTGCGAGCTTACCGTGGTCCTCCTGCTCGAGTCCAGCGGCCTGGGGCTGGTCCGAGCCTCCATCGGCTACCTGCTCTTCCTCTTCGCACTCCCTGTGCTGGTGGCCGGCCTGGCCCTCATGGGCCTGGTGCAGTTCGCTCGCTGGTTCCTGTCCCTGGAGCTCACCAAGGTGGCGGTCACGCTGGCCCTGTGCAGCGTCCCTCTGCTGGTCCGCTGGTGGACCCAGGCCCGCTTCTCGCTGGTGGAGCTGGTCAAGTCGCTGACGCGCAGCTCGGTGGTCAAACTCATCCTGGTGTGGCTCACGGCCATCGTGCTCTTCTGCTGGTTCTACGTGTACCGCTCGGAGGGCATGAAGGTGTACAACTCCACGCTCACCTGGCCGCAGTACAGCGCCCTGTGCGGCCCGCGGGCCTGGAAGGAGACCAACATGGCACGCACGCAGATCCTGTGCAGCCACCTGGAGGGCCACCGCGTCACGTGGACCGGCCGCTTCAAGTACGTGCGCATGACGGACATCGACAACAGCGCCGAGTCGGCCATCAACATGCTGCCTTTCTTCATCGGCGACTGGATGCGCTGCCTCTACGGCGAGGCCTACCCAGCCTGCAGCCCCGGCAACACGTCCACGGCCGAGGAGGAGCTGTGCCGCCTCAAGCAGCTGGCCAAGCACCCGTGCCACATCAAGAAGTTCGACCGGTACAAGTTCGAGATTACCGTGGGCATGCCGTTCGGCGGCCACGAGGAAGACGACGTGACCAAGGACATCGTGCTGCGTGCCAGCAGCGAATTCCGCAACGTGCTGCTCGGCCTGCGCCATGGCAGCCTCATCGAGTTCAGCACCATCCTCGAGGGCCGCCTGGGCAGCAAGTGGCCCGTGTTCGAGCTCAAGGCCATCAGCTGCCTCAACTGCATGGCCGAGCTGACGCCAGCCGGGCGCCACGTCAAGCTGGAGCGCGACTGGCGGAGCACCGTGCACGGCGCCCTCAAGTTCGCCTTTGACTTCTTCTTCTTCCCCTTCCTGTCGGCGGCCTGAGGGTGCCCCGGCGTGCGTGCGTGCGTGCGTGCGTGCGGCCCTGCTCTAGCACTCACTGCCTTCTGCCCTTTGCACTGGCTGTGCCCGGGGTCCCTGCAGGTCACACACACAGTTGCCCCTCCCTCGGCCTCTGCTTTGCCGGGTGGAGCTGAGCTGCCAGGCCCGTGGCGGTGCTGGACCCCCTTGGGTGTCCTGTGCAGGATGTGCCCCTCCCCGCTCTGCTTTTGTTTTAGGTTTGTTTCTGAGAAAGCTGAGAGCATGGTCGTGTGAGGGCAGCACAGCATGGAGGACTCGGACAGTCCTGCCAAGCCTGGACAGCTGTTTGCCCATCCTGGGAGGAACAGGGTGCCCAGCTGCCTGAGCCCCGTCACCATCATCATGAGAGGTAGTTCTCCTGGCCCCGAGTGTCCCTCCTGTCCAGGGGGTGCTGGGGTGTCTGAATCCCCAGCATGGAGGCAGCGCTCAGCAAGCTGAGATGTGCTGGGCCATGGAGTAGAGTGGCAGGCCCCAAGAGAGCCTGAATAAAACCCCATGCTGAAGCCACAGACTCTGTAGGGAGTCCTTCCCTGGTGAGGGTGGGACTGGGCCCCCGCTGGAGGGCAGATTCCCAACTAGCCTGGTGTGCGGGGACTCATGCTGACGTCAGGCCCTGAAGCCCCTGCTGCCAGCACCCCCAGCATAGCAGCACCAAACCCTGCCTGTCACAGGAACCCAGGGACAAGCCAGCACGCGAATGCTATGCTGTCTTCCAAACACACACGTCTCTCGGAAAGCCCAGATGGGCACAGCTGTCAAGGTCACGATCCCGCCCAGATGGGGAGGGCTCGAGGGGCCGGCATTCATGATGCTCAGTCGGCACTGAGGTTGGAACAGATCCCGGAGCGCTTCCTGCCCCTGCTGCCTGGGCTGCACCCTTCTCCGGCTGGCCCCACTACTGTTGTGGCCAGGATGCCTTGAGCCATCCACGCGTGCTCTCTTGAGGTCAACCTCATGCCAGCCACCTCCCTCTTCCCGGGAACCCATCACTCGCAGCGTGGAGTACGTGGGCGACAGCTGTGGCCTGCCCGTCACACGCCAGGGTGGGGCTGCATGCGTCTGCCAGCCGGAGGTGGGCTGCAGAGGGGTCCCGTCCTGTGCTGCGCTCCTGGGCAATAAGATGAGGTTTAGGGTCACCTAGTTCCTCAGACTGGGAGGCCACAAGTGTAGCCACTGTCCCACGCTGCCACTGGACCTACCTGCTTGTCCTCGGGGCAGAGGGAGGAGCTGCAGCAGGCCCCGCCTGCTGAAGAGCACCTAGGAGAGGGGGGTTCTGGCTTCAGTGGAGCTAGTGCGGGTCCCAGGGGCGCCTTGCTGCCGCTCAGCACCCAACTTCACCTGAGCAGATGGCTGGGAAAAGGGGGCTGGCATGGCCACCCTGGATTGGCCTTGGCTTTCGCATCACCCCTTCCACAAGCCCCTGTGTGAACAGCGGCCACTCAGTGCCTGGCGCTGGCCTCAGGAAGTCGGCTTCTGGTGGTGCTCCAGGCCTCCTAACAGGGACAGCCCGGTCACACAGCTGCCCACACCCCCCATGAAAGCAAGGGCGTGCCTCCTGCGCTGACCCTGTTGTTTGGCCTGTGAAATGGGGACATATCATGGTCTCCTTGCCAGCTGGGTCGGGGTGGGTGATCGCTTCTCTCCGAAGGTGGTGGGACAGTTGGTTGTGATTCCTGAAAAGGAGTCAGACGTACAAGGAGCTTCAGAAGTAGGACCCAGAGCCGGTGAGAGCAGCCGGGCCCAGAGGGTCTGGCGCTGGAGGTGTTTGCCGTGCCCCCTTCATCCTCAGGACACAGGCCGGCCGCTGCTACCAGCGCCCCAAAGCCTGCCTTGTTTGCCTTAGCTAATCTCCCTGAGTGCCTCATCGTTTCCCTTGAACAAATATTTACTGCCTGCTGATACTCAGTGAGGTGCTGTGGTCCCTGAGTCACATGTGGGTCCAGCTTTAGGACTCCTGGGGAGTGACCATGATGGCCCAACTCAGGGACAGGAAGCCCTGTGGGAACATGGAGCAGTGTGAGGGAGGGGCTCCCAGCCTCTGGGAGGAGAGGACCAGAAGGCCCCCCCGGGAGGTGGGGCTGCCCCATTGGAGGAGCCAGGCATGGAGGTTCAGGGGTGAGGTTGTCTGGTATGCAAGGCCCAGGACTGTGGAGCCCAGGCGTGACTGGGGAGAGTGGCAGGTGGCTAGAGGAGCCAGGCCTTTGGCTGCAGGTGGCCAGGAGTAAGGCCAGGGCTGAGCTCCGGGCACATGGGCCTAGGCGCCAGGCACCTTGGAGAACACCCAGAAGGCCCCATCGCTCCTGTGCCACAGCAGGCCTGGCCAGTGCTGTGGTGGCCATTGGCTCTGGACGGGCCCCTGTGGCCTGTCGGGATCAGGACCGGGTCTCCTGTGCCTGGAGGGAGGTGTCGGATCACACGCATGGGGGGTCGAGGCTGCTGCTCGCAGGGCAGCCCTGGCCAAGGGGGTGGGGGGACTCACATCTGGTCATGTCTCTCTGCTGGCCCCACTCCCAGCGGGACCTTCAAGGTTCCTGGGGTGAGCAGCCTGCAGGGTGTCCCCAGTATGACTGGCGCGGGACCCAAAGCCTCATTCTCTGACCACAGAAAAGTCACCATTTTCCTGGGCCTGAGCTTACCCATCAGGGCACCTGTCACCACAAGCCCAGGATGATCTGGCTGTCCACAGGGCCGGTCACTGTTCAGAACCACATTAGGGGGCCAACAGGGCACAGCAGGTAAACCCATAACGCCAGCATCCCACATGGGAGCCAGTTTAAGTCCTGGCTGCTTTGCTTTCAATCCAGCTCCCTGTTAATGTTCCTGTGAAAGTGCAGAGGCCGGCCCAAGTACTTGGGCCCCTGTACCCATGTGGGAGACACGGTGGGGTCCCAAGCTCCTGGCTGCAGCCTGGCCCAGTCTTGGCCTTGGCAGCCATTTGGGGAAAGAAGCAGCAGGTAAAAGATTCTCCCTGCTCCTCCATCTCTAACTTTGTTTTTAAAAATAATCTTAAGACGCCATGTCAGGTGGCCTGCTATGGAGCATGCCTTCACACCCCCGCTCTGCCAAGCTTGGGGACTCCCCTGGAAGACCTGTGGCCAGTGAGGGGGTATTGCACAGTCTGCTACCTTGTGAGGACTGTCCCTGAGTGTTACAGGGAGGGTGTGGGGCACCGGTGTCCATTCCCTGGGCAGCACCCCTTCCCAGCTTCCTGGGGTGGAAGCACCGTTCATGGCCATGGCGCCTGCACCACCTGCTCTGAGGCTACGGGGTGGGAGTGCAAACTGATCCCAGAAACACCAGCTGCCTTCCTACAGTCACTCCTACACCTTTGTCCATATTACCCATTCTACTCCAGGTGGCTGCTCCCGGTGCCAGCCCCCGGCCCAGGCAGCTGCTCCCTGGTGCCAGCCCCCAGCCCAGGCAGCTGCTCTCCTGGCCCCTGCAGTGAGGACTGAATCCCATCTGATGCTCCCGTCTCCTGGCCGGCATGTTCACGGGCTGGGTGGCAGGAGCCACCAGGTCACGTCCTTTCCTGGTACAGCCTTTGGGTAAACTCCGAAGGACAGGGCCTTGATCGGTGCCTGCAGCTTCTCTTCCACAGCCAAGAGTCACATTTGTTCATTCAGCGATGCTGAGCGCCTGCTGTGTGCCTTGCCTTTGCCGGGATGCAGCAGTAAACAGGACTGGGCTTCTGCCAGAAGGGGGGGGGATGGGTGAGTGAGGTTTCCTGGGGAAGAAGATCCACCCAGCTGCCAATCAGTACATCACAGCAGCAGGTGGGAAAGGACCTTTTTGGCCAACATGGACACAGTGCCCTTGCCTGCCAGATGCATAATGTACACAGCATTTTCTCAGTTGGCTACGAGGCAGTCAGTGCCAGGCAGATGTTTCCACTGGGAAGCATGGGTCCATATCCTAGTCCTTAACCTATGTACATGGGACCTTCCAGGACAGAAGGGTCATGGCCAGAGGGGTACATTCAAGTCAAAGAGCTTCTCTGTGCTGGACTCCCCCTTCCAGCTGGGCTCAGGGGAGTCTCAGGTGTCTTCATGAGAGGAACAGGTGATGCCTTGGGGGGAGGGAGGGGGTCAGGGCAGTGGAAGGTCCTGGGGTTGTGTGTGGACCCCTTGGGAATGCCCACTCCCCACCCCAGCCCTCCATGGTGCTCAGTGGGGCTGTTGATCTCATGGTCTCCTAGGGGTGACGGGGACCTGGCTGGCCACAGCGGTGAACACAGCTTTGCTCAGGGCTTAGTGGTGACATAGGCAGGATGAAGTGGCAGCCCCATGAGGCAGGTGCAAGGAGAAGGCACAGCCCAGAACATCACAGCACCACAGGTTCAAATCCAGCCTCCCAGGCAGCCTCGCAGCCACTCACGGAGATGCTCTGTAAATACCGACAAGAGACGCCCCCTTTTCCGCAGGCAGCCAGAGCCCTGTCAGATGCAGGCCTGTGGGGGCGCCCGGGGGTTTTGCCAGTCACTAGGGCTGCAGCCTGCACCTGCACCTTGGTTGTCGGCTGCAAGGCTGCTGCTCTGCACGCCCACAGAGAGGAGACCAATGGCAAGCACCGCAGTCTGACCGCCGAGCACTTGACTGGTCAGTGTCCACGGGGGAAGCCTTTGGGGACTGGGGAGCCTCACGCGCAGTAGGTGACCCTCCTCCAGCTCTCTGAGGTTCTGGCCTCTGACAGAAGCCCCCACACCCTGCAGAGAGGGGCTGGGTCCTTGGGAGGCAGCCCATTGCTGTGCCACTTGCACCGCTAGGGAGGGTCCCAGGAGGTTTTTGTAGGGTTCCGTGGTGCCAGCCAACTTCCTGGGGATGCCCCTGCTGCTGGCTGGGCTGCTTCTCACCCTCCAAACCGTCCCGACTCACCTGTGTTCTCTCAGTCTCGGGGTTCCTGCACCCCACTCCAGCGTGCTGCGTGGAGTGCCGTGTTGGACCCCTCACTGTCCTTGGGTGTGAGGGTGCTACACACACACACGCAGTCCAGGATGCTGACAGAGCTCCCCGGACCCCTGCCCAGGTGCCAGGCATTTAGCCCACGTAAGTCTTGCTCAGCCAGCAGGATGAAGTTGGCCCAAGCCTGTGCTGGGCTCTGGGGACAAAGCAGGGAGTGGCCCCCCGATGTCACGTTGGGCCACGCTCTCTCCCCTCCCCATTCTGTCACTCTGCCTTTCAGACAAACACGTTTGAACACTTAAGGAAAGTGAAGGAAACCCAGCGGTTGCCACTCCTTGCAGCACCTGCCTGGGCTGGGCCTCCCTAAACAGAAACAGTATCAGGAGCCCCTGCGTGGATGTAACATTTGTTATTTTATTGGAAAAGGCTGGTATTCACATATTTATAATTTTATTCAACAGCTGATTAGCTTGTGAGACACCAGACCGACTGCTCCTATGGGCTTGAGTCCAGGGTGGCCAGGTCCAGCCCCGCAGACTCCAACCCTGCACCTCCGTCCCCTGAGCCTCTGCAGGGGTCGCCGGGAGAGAGGAAGGGGAAGCGGTCAGGCCTGGACAGCTGATGGAGGTGGCCTGCAGGTGGTGCGGGAGCAAGGGTCTGGGGCTGCCTGCCTCCCCAACTCTGATCCCCTTCTCGACACACACTCCAGGGCCCACGAGCCACTGTGGAGCTCGGACTCCCCACTTCTCTCCCGAGAAGGTGGTTCCGCCGTGTCTCTGGCCCGAAACCTGGAGGTGCAGACAAGGAAGGAACCAGGACCTGCGGGCCGCCGCCTCCCCGGGCGGTTGGTTGGATTGTGAAGTTTCATCAGAAAAGAAACGTACATGACACTGTCCGGGCCACCTGGGTTTGAAAATGAACGTGGAAGGAAAAAGAAGCATCCTTCATTCCTGTTAATTTCAAAAATAAAATAAAATCAATGGACCTTTTTCTGGGCGAGGATTATCCAGCCGGGAGTGAGTGCACATGGCATTTGTGCTTTTACACACACACAAGGGCACACGCAGCCCACAGAGCAGGGTCTCAGACAGCCTAGCTCCTGGCTGCGTTCCACGTGGTTACAGAAACACACACACACACAGCCAGGCTGAGCTGCCCAGCCACGCTCTGCTTTCCAAAGCGTGGGGGACGGGAGCCTGCCGGCTGGTGGCATGCCCCAGAGGCGTCCTCACGCGGGCCAGCAGGTGGTGTCTGTTGGGAAGCAGAGCAGGGCCCTGGGGAAGGGGCTGAAGTTACAGACACAGTGGAGCAAGGGAGGAGCCCAGGGCAGGGCAGGCTCCTGACATCATGAAGTAAAGCGAGCCACCACCCATGGGTCACAGAGCGGCTGTAACCCTTCTCCCAGGTCAGTCACTGTCACTCCTCCTGTCCGGCCTCCCAGACTGGAGAGATGCGTGCCTTCCAGAACTTCCATGAGAGACCGAACATTCGGGGCCGAGCAAGACCTGGACAGGATCCTAGCACACATGCTGCGCGCCTGTCTTGGGCCGCCAGTTACCTTTGACCACTGGCCTGTGCAGTGGGGGCATTCGGATGCCCACCAGTCACAGACAGGGCGCAGAAGGTGTTTGGGGAAGGAGGGGCGCCGTCCGTGCCCAGCAGCTGCCTGATGGATGCCAGAGGGGAGGATGGGAGTGCAGAGTGGCTGCTGGGGCTAAAGCAACTGAGCGGGTGGCAGGGTGGCAGCACTGGGGCTTGGCATGTGGCAGCGCTGGGCTGGATGTCGGCTCTGTGTGGTGAGAGGGGCAGTCCCCTGGGGCCTGGGATCCTTGAAGAGTCAGGAAAGGAGCTTGCACCTGCCAGTCCCCAGCGCATTCACCATCCAAAGTTCAAACGCGAGTCTCCACCCACTGGGAGCCAGGGCAAACTGATCCAACAGGTCAGAAAGGCTGGCTTGTCCGAGCGCAGCCCAGGCAGGACCAGCCCCAGCGTCCCCAGAGCACGGTCTGCAGGAGTGGAGAGCGAAGCTGGAGCGATGTGGGCTGACTGCGTGTAGCTGGGGCGGGCAGGGAGGGTGTGAACCAAGGAGCCTGAGCCTCAGGCTGGGCAGTCGCGTCCACTGAGGAAGTGTGGCCGTGAGTCCTTTGGAGGGGCTGGACGGGGGGACTCCTAGCGCATGTCGGAGTTGACCTTGTCCTGGAAGATGTACAGGTTATTGGTGGCCGCGATGGCGATGATGTTCTCGGCCGGGTGCCAGGCCGTGTGCAGGATCTTCTTGGTGAAGTCCAGGCTGTCCACGCTGATGTCGTCGCGCCTCCGCTTGCCGCCCACGCACACGCGCCGCGGCTTGAGCACAGCCCGCGGCTTGCTGCTCTCCCGCGACGCCTCCAGGGTCACGTCCCGCTTTGTGTTGCGGTCAAACATGCGGAAGAAGTTGTTGTAAGCGCCGGTCATGATGACGCTGGTGGGAGATGCGCAGGTGTCAGGGGACAGGGAGGTTCCTCCCCTGCCCGCCCACATGCTCCGCAGGATCTCTGTGCACCCCATGACACCAGGAGCTAGGTCCCCCAGCATGCCCCAGAGGAGGCATGGGGGCTCCCTGGCGGCTGTGTGCAGGGAGGCAACCCTGGTGGTCTGCCTGGTCCCAGTGTGAGGCTCCCTCCCTGGGAACAGCTCCCAGTTCTCTCCCTGCTGGAGCCAGGGCTTGGGAGCTTGGCAGCTGCAGGGAGCTGAGAGGCGGGGGAGTTTGGGGGTGTCCCCAGGTGGGCACAGCCACATGGAGATGGAGAGGCCAGGACCTGCGTTGTCCAAGGAGGCGAGAGCTGCCTGGAGATGCCTTCTGCTCCGTCTGGGGTGGCCTGGGCTGAGGGAGGACCATGTGGGCATAGAGTTCAAGGCCACCCAGCTGACAGAGGTGCGGAGCAGGAGAGAGGACGGGGCAGGGTCCTGCATGAGCCAGGCCGGCCAGGGACGGGGCTCCCCTGGAAGGCTGGGGGGAGGGCCAGGTCTGTGCTGGGGCCTGCTACTGGTGGCCAGAGGCAGAAGCCAACTGGGCCACAGACAGGAAATTCACACAGGTTCTGGAAGGTTGTAAGGGAATTGCGATGGGAAGTTACCCAGAAACCCCAGGCCTGAGTGGGGGAGAAGGAGAGTTCCAGGGGTGGGGAGGACAAAGGGCTCAGAATGAGGGAGGCAGGCAGCCGTCACAGCAGTCCAGGCTCTTGCCCACTGGGGAGGGTGAGGGCCTGGTTGGCCTGGCTGGATCAGCGTCCAGTGCCCCCATGAGGACTCTAGTGGCGGGCACAGGGAGCCAGCTGGGCAGAGTCCACAGCGGGTAGGGTCAGGGAGGCTGCTCTGGGCAGAAGCCAGAACCTTCTTGCATGTCGGTGGGGGGTCGGCTCAAGAGAGAGGCGACTTGTAGGGATCCCCCACCTGAGGGCAGGGAGCCCAGACGGGGGTCGCGGGTAGGAGGCCACAGCTAGGCAGGTGAGTGCATTCTAGGCCAGGCCTCCAGGGGGCAGAGCGGAGCTGACCACTGACGTGAGGCGGAGCCATCGCCCGCCCACGGGCGCCCTCTGGTGGCAACACGCTGGAGGCACAGGCAGCTGGTGCAGCCAGAGGGGATCCGTGCCTTCCCCAATCAGAACACAGGTAAGGCTCGGGACACGTGCGGGTGGGCGCAGAGGATGAGGCAAGCGTCCTTTCCTGCCCACCCCCCCCGACCCCTGAGAGTTTACAAAGGGCGGGCCCACACGAGTCAGCAGAGCCTGGGGCCGCCAGCCCCACTGCGCCCAGGGATACCTGTCACTCCCGTTCCAGGCACACTCGAATTTATCAAAGATGCAGTCATTCTCGTACAGCGAGCAGAGCTTGCTCCGCAGGTAGTCGTGGACCTGGCAGAGGAGGGGGCAGTGGTGAGAGGTTGGGCTGGGGAGCGAGCAGCATCACCCCTCGGCCCACAGCCTGGCACACACTGTCCTCTGGGCCACTGGCACAGGGAGCATTGTGGACCTGGGGTGGGGCAGACCTCCTGGGATCCGGCCCGGCCCCTCCCTGCCTGGTGACTGGGGCCAGGAGACCTCACCTCACCAAGAATGTTTCTTCATTCCTCGCGTGCCAAGAGTGCCAGCCTTGTGGGTGGTTCTGGAATAAGCACAGGGTGGGCACCTTGGAGGACCCCAGCATGGCAGGGTGGGCACCTTGGAGGACCCCAGCATGGGGCAGAGAGCACCAGGAAGGTTAGGGACTTGCCCAGGCTTCTCCAGGGTTTCCATGGCAACACCATCACCTCCTCCCAAGAGCAGGCATTGGGATCAGACACAGAGCAACCAGCCTAAAGGGCCCCAGCAGGACCAGAATCCTCCCCAGGACCACAAAGATGGGGCCCTGCAGCCACGTGACCCACCCTTCTGGTGCCTGGGCTCTGCTGGGCGGGGGCTGCTTCAGGGGGACGGCTGTGGCTGGGGACAGGGGCAGTGCACAGGTGACATGGGAAGGGCAGAATGCTGGCACACACGTCAGCCTAACCACGCCCAGGCCCAGGGACTAGGGCAGACACTCCCAGGAAGTGTGCTCGTCAACGTGGGGACACACACCTCTCAGGAGGCTCACGTGTGGCCGGGTCGCCTGGGAGCACGAGCACTCCGCCCTGCCCAAGACCCAAAACATCCTACTCTCATCCTTCAAGGTCCAGCCAACAGGACACCTCCTCCTCCGAGGAGTCTTCCAGACCTCCCCAGATGGAGCCAGAACCTGGGCTAGCTTGAAGTAGTCTCTTCAGTCCTGGCTTTGATTTAATAACCCGTGAATTTTGGCTTTCTGTCCCTTAACATAGCTGGAACAATCCCAACAGAAAAAAAAAATCCTAAATAATTTGAGGTTGCTTCCAAGAACTTGTGGGAGGGAAATGGAAGAGAGAGATATGTTGATTTTGATGAAAGAAAGAAAAAAGCAAACCGCAGTTTTCCTGATATGCGTTCTCCATGGAGACCCCGCAGCTGACACCAAGGTCAGCGTGTCTTTCAATGCACTTGCCACAAACTGTCGGAGTTGCTGCCAGGCAGGCACGGTGGCGTGTGTGTGTCTGACTGCACGGGGCCCACCTGGTAGGTCTCGATGGGCCTGGCCTCCATGTTTAGGTCCCAGACCTTGACCGTGAGGTAATCCCGCGTCAGCATGTACCGGCCGCTGTGACTAAACTTCACGTCGGACACAGAGGAGATAATTTCTGAGAAGAAGGAACGGTTGCTGGGATCCTCAGGCTCCTCAAACACTGGGGGGAGAGAGAGAGAGAGAGAGAGAGAGCTCTCACTGCTCTGCTGCCATCATGACTGACCACTCACCTCCGGCCCCCGGCTCACGCCGTGTTTGCTCAACCCCTCAGCAAACTTGGACCCAAACACCCCGCCAGGTACAGCCTCGGGTGATCTCCAGAGGACAGCCCTTGAGCACGTCCAAGCCCTCTGGTTTACAACTCCGTCCCAGCACACATCTGGGGTCAAACCCCCAATGCACCCCACCAGACAGCCAAGAGGACTGGGCCCTGGGGGGCCCGGGCCACACCTCGGGGCTCGGAACTGCTCTGCCAACAGAGCAGCACCTTGATTTCCACCTGCCAGTGAGGGTGATGCCAGCTTTCCAAAGCACCCTAGACTGCAGAGCCAGCGAGGCTCGAGGCCCTGGGACCCCGGGCTGGCAGCTCTCTCAGCGCAGGGGGCGGGTGCAGAAGCCGGGTCTGGACCCCCTGCCTCCCGCCAGGGTGTGTGGACTTGGCAGTCACTTAGCAGCTTGCCTGGGAGGAGCTTGGCATCTGACAGGTGGGCTTAGCTGTCTGCTTGCACTGCCCCCCACCAGGGTGGCTGGCCAGAAGCCTGGGGGCAGTGAGAGGAGTCCCAGAGTGCCCTGCAGCCTCTGAGCCACCCGCCACCGACAGCCACCGCAGGCACAGTGTTTGGAGTTCTGACAGTGCGAGGAAAGCACTGTCCATCTGCAGGATCTGTAACTTTTTTTTTAGATTTGTTTTATTTTTATTGCAAAGTCAGATATACAGAGAGGAGGAGAGACAGAGAGGAAGATCCTCTGTCCGCTGATTCTGCAGGGTGATGGGGCGGCTGTTCATTGTGGCAGCTAAGATGCCACGCTGGGGGATGGCCCTGTGGTGTAGCAGATTTGGGTCCCAGCTGCTCCACTTCTGAGGGGGTCGCTCTCATTGGCGGGCTCCCCAGGCACACCGTGCAGTGTGCTGCCACCAGCGCGAGTCCCCCAAGGCCACACCTGCCCGGGTGGGGCGCTCCGGTCTCCTCAGCAGTTTTGCATAATTGGGTTTCTCTGGTTCCCACATGCACACCCTCCACCCCGTTGGCGTGCAAGATGGGGGCAGGGAGTGGGGGTGTCTTGCGGGGGGCCAGAGCACCCCTCGCCCTCCCTCTGCTAGGGCTGACGTGGAGGGAGCCGAGGGGGTGCTCAGTCCCCACCAGCAGCCTTCCCCCAGCCGCACAGAAACCCGGGGTCTGCCTGCTGCATAAAACCCTCCGTGGCTCCCCCGTGCCCACAGGATGAAGGCTGCAGTGCCAGTCGTTGGGCCCAAGCCAGCCTGCTGCTCTGGCCTCACTTCTGCCCCCGTCCCCCACAGAGCCTTCTGCTGCCAAGACACCCGGGCCTCTGCAGGCTAGGACAGGAAGGCCCTGGAACCAACAGTCGGGATGGATCCTGAGCCCGTGCCATGAGCTGGGCAGCCGACTGCGACCAGCTGTGAGTGCCTTCTGGCAAGCCTCTTGACCCCTGAGAGCCGAACACGAAGGCACCTCCAGAGGCAGCAGTTGCAACCCTCCCCAACTCCTACACACCCTTGAGAACCCCAACACTGATGCCCGTTCTCTGCCGGTTGTGCAGATGCCCCCACCCCACCCACACAGTCCTGGGGGTGTCCTTGGAGGAGCCAGCAGGGAAGCGTGGTCACCATGGAGCGCTGGCCACTCCCTCTGTGGGCAGGGCAGGGCTCCTGCCATAGTCATGGTTAACCTCAGCACTTTGAACCCGCTGCATGCCCAGCCCTGCTCACCAGGCAGAGAACCTTCTGTACTTGTGGCTCTTCTGCCCCAGGCCGGGCAGCGAGCCTTCCCTTGCGTCCACCTCCACGCCTGCGCGGTGCAAGGTAGAGGGCTCCTCCGCCTAGAGTCACACAGGGCGTTGAGGAGGGGGCCTTTAGGGGGGCCTGGGGTCTGGCCATGGGCCCCACCCCATTCTGCCGCCCGTCGCCCCAGCGCCACCATGATTAAGACCCCCGCACACACTGCCACACTCCCCAAGTGCCCAAGTGGACCCTGAGATGCAGTGATCACCCACCGATCACAGGGTCCTGATTGGATAGGGGTCGGCAGAAGAGGATGGGACACCGGACACAGGAAGGTAGGGAGGGTGCCAGGGGCCCCGGCTGGAAAAGGCAGGGCATGGATTCTTCCAGGAAACTTCTAGAAGAGACCCAGCTCTGCCAACACTCGACTGCACTTCTGGCTTCCAGCCCTTGCACAGAACGCATCCGTGTGGTTTGCAGCCTGCGGGCCTACGGCCTCTGCTGCTGTGAGGTGGGAGTGAGGGACCCCCACCGGGTGGCTCTGAGGGGCTCCCGACAGGTGAGACCGAGGCCCGGCCAGTGTGGGCTGCGGCTGTGGCTCCTCCCAGAACTGGGCCAGGCACACACTCAGGGTCGTGCAAAGCGGGACCGCTCTCTGAGTCAGCCCTGCACTCTGAGCCGAACCCACCAGCCAGCCCTCCCTTCCAGCGTGTCCTGCGCTGTCAAGAACAGAAATAGCTGTCAATTCTGCGGGTGGTGTAGCGTTGCCATGGTTACCTATCACCAGGCCTGACAGACAAAAGGCAGGATCTTCCAGCACTTGGGAGCCAGGCGGGACCGTGGGCAGCAAACATGGTGGCTGCGGCCTCGTGCTTGGCCCCACCAGGTGCCCCACTTCCAGGACACTTTCTCGGGTGGGCCACAGCGTGCAGGGAGTGCCTGTCCCTGTGTGTCACCAGATCAACGCGCAGCCATGCGAGGCCCATGAATTGCCCCCACACCATTAGATCTGCCAGAAGCCGGGTGGACACTCTGTACCTGCGCTGCAGGAAGTTTCTGGGAGAGTACTGAGTTTGAGAAGTGAAAAAAAAAAATCCTTCAAAAAGGAAAAATACAAAAATGACTTCCACAGACACCTGCAGGAACCAGTGATTAAAACTGAAATACGGGCCCAGGGCAGTAGCCTAGCAGCTAAAGTCCTCGCCTTGAACAAGCCAGGATCCCTTATGGGAGCTGGTTCTAATCCTGGCAGCTCCACTTCCCATCCAGTTCCCTGCTTGTGGCCTGGGAAAGCAGTCGAGGACGGCCCAAACCTTGGGACCCTGCACCCATGTGGGAGACCCGGAAGAAGCTCCTGGCTCCTGGCTTCAGATTGGCTCAGTTCCGGCTGTTGCAGTCACTTGGGGAGTGAATCATCGAATGGATCTTCTTCTTTGTCTCTCCTCTCTGTATATCTGACTTTGCTATAAAAATAAATAAATCTTGGAAAAAAGACTGAAATACACCTGTGTGGCTGAGGCTTCAAGGAGCAGGTGTGTGACAGAGAATGAAGGGTGCCTTGCAGGAGCTTAACGAAAACCAGGCGGGTGCAGGGAAGGAAACGGAAGGCGATGCCAGCACGCCACAGGGGCACAGCAAGCCCGCGTGACCCTCAGCACGCCACAGCAGCCCTGGCCTGCCTGCTGCTTGGGACAGAGTCCTTGGGAAGGGCCTGGCACCCCACGTGAGCACCTGGGCAGTGGCCAGCAGGGCTGGCCGCACGGTTACCCAGTTATCCACGGTGGTCCAGAAGACCCAAGAGCCCTTGCTGGATACCGCTGGCCCTGCAAAGAAGCTTCCAGAACTGTAGTGCAAGTTGGGAGAGGTGGAGTTCCCCCAGCTCCCTGAGGCCTGAGGGGCGGGATGGGAAATGACAATGGGGTGGCTCCCCCAAGACAAAGTCAGGGACTGACTCAAACAGGCTCTGTGGCCATCTAGGATGTTTCTAGAACTCTCTCACGCAGAGGGGCTGCTGGATTCCACGGGCGCTGGTGCCAGGCAGAACCCAGCAGCCCAGACCCAGCCCTGCTCGGCCCAGACCAATCCCTGGGGCCATTTCCTGTTAGGTACAGTTGCCCCTGAGAGCGTGGTGGTCAGAGGGAAGTGCCCAGAGAGAGCTTGGCATGCTAGGCAGTGATGGCAGTGGTGGCTCAGCCTCGGGCCTGGCCCATGCAGAGGTGACAGGTGACAGCCTTGGAGGTATCCAGCCTGCTGGGAGAGTCAGGGTGCTTTCAGGGCATGGAGTTGGGACAGGGGTCCCAGTGCAAGGTGGGGTCATGAAAGGCTTCTTGGGAAGAGGGGACCCCTAAATGTGACGCTCCTCAGCTTCCGGATCCCTTGGCCCTTACCCAGGAAGCCAGGCAGCATCTGGGGGTGTCAGGCCCTGGCGGCGGGGGTGGCAGGGCCAGCCCTGGAGAAGGCCAGGCCGCTGCCCCAGGGAGCACTTACACTTGGAATGCTTGTCGCACAGGGCGGCCGCCCGCATGTCGCACAGCCGCAGGGAGCCCTTGCTGCTGCTGTAGACGAACAGGTTGCAGTGGTGAGGGTGGAACTCGGACGCCGTGATCACCTCCGTGAGGTCCTCCATGTTGGCCGGCTTGATGTCCACAATGTCTGCGGGCAGTGAGGTCAAGGACGTGGCCGTGAAGGGCCCAGGGCTGCCCTGCCCTCCCCGGGGAAGCCCCTGCATACCTCACCCCTACCGGAGACGACCACCTGCCGGCTGCACGGCCTGCCACGGGGGACCCGCCGGGCCTCTGCCCGGCTCACCCGCCCCTGTCATCATTGCCAAGCACCAGGAAGTTCATCAGCTGCCTCCTACTGCGTGCTGGGCGGCTGAGGGCCCTGGGGGTCGTGATGCTGAGCTGAGCGTGTGTCCAGCCCCGTCTTGGGGCCACACAGACCCCCCCACCCCCTGGCCTGCGCAACTTCCTCTGCATCACTGGGTCCCCTCCCACTCCCCCTCCCAGGAGCTGGAGTCCAAGAATGTTGGGATGGGCTGAGTGGTGTAGACAGGAGTGCCTCTGTGGCCGGAAGTCCCGGGGTCTGGGGGGAGGGGCACTGGTGCCTGTAGTGCTGGCGTGGTTGGGGGCAGCAGCTGGTCCTGAACAGGAGACCCCACGCAGCCTCACCCCCTCCCAGGCCCTAAGGTCTCCTGTGAAGCCTGAGGTCGGCAGTGCAGCTCTCCACCCCTCAGCTTGCCCATCTGTCAAATGGGCTCGACAACTTGAGCCTCCCGGCTTTGCCATCCTAAGAGGCAAGGTTCTTGCCACACCCAAGGCATGGCAGCCATGGGAAACAGGCCCATCTGCCAGACACCCTCTGCTTCGTCTCACCCCAGCCCCAAGGAGAAAGTCACTTCCGACAAGGGCCTGTAAGATGTGCAAGGACTCGGCAGCCAGTAGGACACCCTGAGGCCCCTGGGCCGGTGCCCACATGCTGCTCCCAGGAAGCCAGCAGCAGCCAGGGACCAAGACTCTCAGAGTAACGGGGTGAGCGAAGGCGGGCTCTGCCACCAGCACTGTGAGCGCCCAGCCACAGTGAAGCCGAGGCACCAGGGACCAGGCCATGGGTTCCTTGTAGGCAGGAGCTCCGAGAGCTGGCATGAGGTTGGCTGCGACCCTCCTCTGTTCCCAGAGTCCGACTGGAAGCTAACTTGTGGTGGACACAGCTGTGGCACCCGAGGGGAACACCCATGCTGCCCCAAGTCTCGGCTTGTCACTGTCACTGCACACAGCCACACCTGCCCAGGGACTAGTGACAGTGCTGCCCCCATGGGGACAGATAAACCATGACAGCCCGGGGCTGGCTGGACGGCACAGGCGCAGGCCCAGGACTTTGAGTATGGACTGCGGAGACCAAGATGTTCAGTGTGTCATCTCAGGGTCCCTTGATGTCCCAAAGGTGCTGAGAATATAGCAGAGGAAAGAAAGCTCCCTCCCGTCCCATCCTCTGTCCAGGACACCTCCACCAGGCAGTCCTGCAGGGCTGAATTCCAGAGCCATGCCCAGGTCCCCGTCAGTCTTGCCAAGGACTCCATCACCTCTGCCAAGGGCACCACCTCACCTGAAGCCCAGCTTGCGGCGAGCACTGGTTGTGTGGACTAGAGGCCAGGTCACCTACCCACCAAGTCCGCCAGCTGCTAATGGAATCAGGCACACACCCCCAGGGAGAAGCTCAAAGTGAGACACAGGTAAAGAAAACGCCAAGTGTCCTGGTGGCGCACGTGGGCTCCTGACTCACGCCACGGGGGCTCAAGTGCAGATGCTGCACCTAGCTGGCCGTTAAAGACACAGGCAGGACAAGGACCACAGCGCCATGCCCAACATGGGCCAGGCACACAGAACCACACCGGACCAGAGAGGAACCCGAGGCGTGGGCCCACCAGGAGGAGTGATGCAGGGCCAGCAGGACCACAGGGGGGCCTGCAATCCTGGCTTCCTTCCTCCCAGCCCAGTGCCGGGGGAATGGGGGCGCATTTCACACAACCTGCAGCTCTCTCCCCACAGCCCTGGGTCTGGCTCCTGGCTTCCAAGAGGCAGATGCTGGGCACACACTGGGATGGAGGAGAGAGGCCTTGGCCATCTCCAGCTGAGCTGAGCAGGGCTGGCAGGAAAGGTGGGGGGAGAAGCTGTTACAGTGGAGACCCTGCAGTGACCAGCCCTCCCCTGCAGAACCAATGGAGAAGGGGTAGGCAGTCTAAGGGTTAGGGGACTCCAACTTGGGGCTAGGGGTTAGCCTGAGTGTCATAGGAACGTGGCCACGCCCCCAACCTGCCATCTAGAGAAAGTGCTAGAAACATCAGCTAGCTGTCCAAGCCTGGGCGGGCAATGAGTCACATCCTTTAGCAAGAAAACAGCTGTTTGTAGGGGTGCTGGGTGCCCCAGGTTCCTGATCGTGCTCCTTGTTAAGACATCTGGGTCCCACTGCCTTAGGGTCTCAGCTGGGGCCAACAGGTGGTCAGCCATCTCCACCAAGGCCCAGGGCTTCCTGCAGCCCAGGCTGCTGTCAGCGGTCCTGACTCCACCGGGCACAGCCCCAATCCACACCTGTCACCACCAGGCAGTGGGCACTGCTAACACCCTCCCTCAACCAGCAAGGAAAGCAAGCCGCAGACAAGCTGGGCCAGGACTCGGCTGCACTGCTGGGGGCTGGTAGGACTGAGCTTTACACAGAACTGGCCAACTTCACTGTCACACACACTGCTTCTTGTCACAACAGCCACTGGTGCTTGAGCCTGAGTGCCCGCCCCTTGCAGCGAGCTGGGCTCTGAGAGGGAGGCTCCCTGACTAAGGCCCCTCCACATGCCCCTGGACCCTCCGATGGCCTGTCCTGCTCCACTGGCCTTTTGTTGTGGACTCCACAGTCCAGAACAGGGACAGGGGCTTCCCATAGCACTGCAGCCTTGCAGAGTCCAGCAGAGAGGGCGGGAGTTTCTGGAGGGTTCTACACAGGGGGGTGTGGGACCTGGTTCACTGTGCTGGGACGGGCGCTGTGAAGGCTGTACAGGGGTCCCCTAACGCCCGTTCCTCAGGGCAGCCCTTAAGCAGGGGTCTTTACAGGTGGAGACCAGAGGCACATAGTCCAAGGCCACAGTCACACGTCCTGTGGATCATGTGTGAATCCGGCAGCATGGGTTCCTGAATCTGAGAGCCAAAGCCAGATAGGTCAAAGTTGTGGTCAGGGTGACAGAAGCCTGGATTCCCAGCACCTGATCCAACTGTTCAAGCCAGAGCAGCCTCCCGGTCAATACTACAGGATGAGTGCGTGGGTGGATGGGTGAATGGATGGGTGGGTAGATGGATGGATGAAAGGGTGGGTGGGTGGATGGATGGAAGGGTGGGTGGGTGCATGGATGTATGGAAGGGTGGGTGGGTGGATGGATGGGTGGGTAGATGGATGGATGGGTGGGTAGATGGATGGATGGAAGGGTGGGTGGGTGGATGGATGGAAGGATGGATGGATGGAAGGATGGATGGATGGATGGATGGATGGATGGAAGGATGGATGGATGGATGGATGGATGGGTGGATGGATGGATGGATGGATGGATGGATAGATGGATGGATGGGTGGGTGGTTGGATGGATGAGAGGGTAGGTGGGTAGATGGATGGATGGGTGGGTGGGTGGATTGATGGGTGGGTGGTTGAATGGGCGGGTGGGTTGGGTGGATGAATGGGTAGATTGGGTGAGTAGATGGATGGGTGGGTAGATGGATGGATGGGTGAGTGGATAGGTGGGTGAGTGGGTGGGTGGATGGATAGAGCACAGAGAAGAGAGAAGCAGAGAAGAAACCAGAACTCAGAGGCCCCCAACTCTCACAGCCTCCCCTAGCAACTATCCAGTCCACTTCTCTAAGACGCCATGGACAGGGAGCTTTTGAGCAGGCGGCACCAGGGACAGGAAGAGGCAGGCTGGGGGTGGTGGCAGTGACCATGGCCGGTGAGGGACGCCTGTCCTCCCCACATCAGTCCCCGTATTCACAGCACTGGGTCAGAGATGGCGCCAATAGCCTGGCTGGGGCTGCCTGGGGACAGGGTGGCCTGGGCAGGCCTGGGCTCCAGCTTGGGTCACAGACTCAGCATAGAGCTGGCAGGTGGAGTCGCCTTGGCTGGTCCTTCGCCCCCAGCACAGTGAAGGAGCCAAGCCCTGTGGTGGACATGCACTGACAGCGGCTGCCCCAGCCCCCTGCAGCTGACTCAGGCCTGTTCCAGCCCACCCAGCTGTAGGGTCTACCCCTATATGGGAACTGGGAATCTGCAGATCAAGGCTTAATGTGATGTTAGCTTTAAGAATGAGACATTGCTCATAGGAGAGCAGAAAAATCAAGCAGTCATCTTTGACTTTCTCTGGGTACCCCTAGGTAAGCAGGGATGTGTCCACTGAGGCCTCCCATGCAAGGGCACTATTAAAGATGTACCGAACTAGAGGACCAGGGAGGACCAGGGTTGGGGGAAGGGGGTGGCACAGTGGTTCACAGGCGAATCCTCTGCCTTACAGCGCCAGTATCCCATCTGTACACTGGTTTGTGTCCCAACTGCTCCACTTCTGATCCAGCTCCCTGCTTATAGCCAGGGAGAGCAATGCAGGATGGGCCAAGGTTGGGCCCCTGTGCCCAGGTGGGAGACCCAAGAGAAGCTCCTGGCTCCTGGCTTTGGATGAGCTGAGCAGTGGCCTTTGAGGCCATTTCAGGAGTGAAGCAGTGGATGGAAGATCTTTCTGTTTCTCCTCTCTGTATATCTACCTTTACACGGAAGTTCAGACGAAGCTGGGGAAGAAGAGCTGGCCAAGCCCAGCAGCAGGGACCCTCAACACTCGGGGACCGGGAACATGGCACCACCCTGCCCTGACGTGGCTCCGCCTTTCATGTGAGCAGTGACTGGGCGGAGAGCTGACACTCAGGGGTGGGTGGACAGTATCTGGGCTGGGACAGGGGGACAGAGCTCCTCAGCCCTGTGGAGTGCAGAAACCCTGATGGGCCATTGGACAGTCCTGGTCCCGGGAGGGGAACAGCTTCGCCACCATCCAAGGGCTCAACTTGCTCCGGAAGGTGCCAGGGCTTGAAGCGGGGTCTCAGTGGGTCCTGTGAGCGGGTCAGGACTCTCCTTACAGGGCTGGCCAGCTGCACCTCTGGCATCTGGGCCAGGGTCCAAGGGAGAAAGGCTAGGGCTGGATGAGCTGCGAGGTCTGCCAGCGGGCCTCGACATTCCTGGGGGAAACTTGCCCTAAGTGTCTAGGGCCTCAGAGCAGTAATTTGCAGCTCAGCCAGGAGCCACGGCTGCCTCTGGCACCTCGCATGTCCAAAATGAAACACCTTTTCTAATCCCTCGCTGCCATCAGGCCCGTCTTGGCACCTGCAGCCCCACCCTCCGCCCGGTCCTGACATTGGTGAACCTGCCCCTCACTGCCATCAGGCCCGTCTTGGCACCTGCAGCCCCACCCTCCGCCCGGTTCTGACATTAGCAAGCCTGCCCCTCGCTGCCATCAGGCCCGTCTTGGCACCTGCAGCCCTCACCCTCCGCCCGGTCCTGACATTGGCGAGCCTGCCCCTCGCTGCCATCAGGCCCGTCTTGGCACCTGCAGCCCCCACCCTCCGCCCGGTCCTGACATTGGCGAGCCTGCCTCTCTGCTCTGGGTCCCCATGTCCTGTCTCCTCACCAGGCAGAGGTCCCGGCACAGCATGCCTCCCTGGCCAATGAACCTGGCAGGGGCTTCCCCAAGCCACACACACACCTGGGACCCCCATGCGTCTCTTCCGAATGCCTGGGTTCTGTGACCCAGAGCCACCTTAGGGCTCTTAATTGTCAGCAATGCACACACGGATGGACACACACATAGACAACACATACAACACTCACACAACCTTCACACATACAGTTACATTACACGCACTCTCATACATGTACAAACACATACACATGACATGTGCACTCATGCTGACACAATATACTTTCACATACACTCTGACACACACATAAATGCACACTCAAAAGCACATTGTCCCATACAACTGTCACAAACACACAGCCACATATGCACTCACACACATAACTGTCATGCATACTCTCACACTCACACACTCTCATGCTGGCACATGCACAGTCACACACACACTGTCACATTGGCACAGCACAGTCACACACAGACACTAACACACACACAGATCCATTCTCATCTGCCAGCTCCTGTTGCCCACAGCCAGGACGTGTCGTATTTCCAACAGTTCACTGCCATACAGTCGGAAGGTTGAGCACACATCCAACCCAGCCACAGTGGGCAGGACTTTAGTGGGCGGTGGCGTGGGCCTCATCCCTCCCTCCCTCCTCCCAGCCCAGGGCCCCTGGTCAACAATCTGCCTTTGTGGCCTGGCAGAACCCTCAGCTTCTGGACTTGACCTTGGAGGTGGGGCCTAGGCTGAGCTGGTGCTGACCTGCCACCTTGGGCAGTGGGACACAGAACACAGAGCAGAGGCCTGTGCCTGAAGTACCTCAATACCAGGTCGACGCATGGAGTGGACAGAGCAAGCTCCTGTTCCAACTCCATATAATCCATTTAACATATTGTCCTTGGAGAGAGGACGTACCTGATATTAAACTGATAAGAACAGATACTACACTTGATCTTGCCAAAAGGTGTTGCCCTATTATTACATAATTATGACACTACTCCCTCCATTGCTGTTACTATTATTCTCACTTCCACAATCACTGCTACTACTGCTGTTAGTACCGTCACTGCTGTCATTATTCCTCTGAGGGTTCCGAGCGGCAGGTGCCCTCCCTGCTCCACGCACCCCAGGCCTTGGAGGCCTCACTGTGCCCTGACTCCTCCCACTGTGAGGCTGTGGGACTAAAGTCAGAGCTCAGAAGTACTAAAGTGTGCTGAGTGATGGATGAATCAAGAGAATAATGTGCTAGGCAGTGGACAGGTAGTACTAGGATGACAGTAACGAAGAATAGTGTTGGGACTGGTATTAAGAAATCATTCGATAACAAGTGAATGTCTAGCAATAAAGAAAATAAAGTCAATGGCAAAAATATGTGTTAAAAGATAACAGGTGATGATAGAGATTAAGGTTAAGAGATAGCACCTAGTAGAGCGTTGGATGAGTAGCAGTAATTAGAATATAGGATAAGTAATATGAGAACGATGCTGATGACTTAATCGATGACTTAATTGCTAAGCTAGCTGCTAAGTTTGGCCTCTGCAATAAGTGCTTTGCTTGCTGCAAAGCGGAACCAAGGTAAGGCCATGAGAGACCTCGGACAGGAACAGGCCTAAGCTTGTCTCTAGAACTGAGGCACCTGCTTCCCCGAAGTGGGCCGCCACATACCCTAGACAGAGCCGGCCAGTTAGAAGGGACATGAAAGGCCCCTAGTCATCATGTGGTCATGGCGATAGAGGCTGGCCACTGGAGTGGGCATGGATAAGAGAGACCGACCACCAGAGTGGTCACGGGTGACAAAAACTGACCAGTTACAATCTTGCCAATGCCTGTTTGTAGAATCAATGGCCCATTCCTAGAATTGCAGGCAAGACCCTATATAAACCACGTGAAATATATGGTCAGGGTCCTTGTCAAGACTCCACTGCGTTGGATGAGACTTGGACCCTGGCGCACTAGCAATAAAGTTCCTTTGCTTTTGCATTATCTCGAGTGGAACTCCTCTGTTGAAGGCAGTGGGACAAATTCCGGACTCAACACCACCCTTGTGGATGCCCATGGATCAGCGATTCTTTGCTAACCAGTCTCTCGGGGGTGACACTGCCCCTGGACCCCCGTCCAGCCACAAGGACTGTTGAGCATGGGGTCTGAATCCAGCTGGCTTCTGATGCCCAGGTTGTCACTCCAAGCCCTGGGCAGAACTTGGACAAGCTCTGGGCCCAGGGCAGCTGTCCCTGTCCCTCCTCAGGGCACAGCTGGACCTCTTGTCCTTCCTGGTCCCCACTGAGGCCCCAGGGTGCCGGAAACCATGGCCATCCCGGAAGCGGGAAAGGCATGGGCAGCCCTAGGTGCCAGCATTCTTGAGTTTTCTGAACCCCAGGGTGATCCGCACACTTCCTGCCATTCCCTGTGCGTGCCAGCAGCTTCCTCACTTTTGAAGTGGAACCACAGGGCCTCGTTCCAGCCGGCTCCCCCTGTGCCCGCAGGCCCAAGCGCTGAAGGATACTGAAGCTCCTGTCGGTGACGGCCAGGTGCCAGAGGTTGATCCGCAGGTCGTCCGCCGACATGTACGTCTCGCAGTCACTGTTCACGGAGATGGAGTTGATGTGGTAGGTGTGGCCATTGGCGAATATCCTCCGTGGGCTCACCTCCACCATAAGGTCCATGGGCTTCAGCACTGGCACCTGCGGGGAGACGTGGTCAGGGCCGGCCACGGGGTGCAGGGCAGGCAGCCATGAACGGTGGCTGCACCGCTCTGCCTCCCAAACAGGAGAAGAAGCAGTGGTGTATCCCACTGACCTCCCACCAGACACATGTCCTCCCTTCTCTGCGCTCTGCTTGCTGGGAGCTGGAGGCCCAGCCTAGGACTGTACTTCCCAGCTGCCCTTGCGTGTGGGTGTGGTCACGTGACTCATCCTGGCCAGTAGAGTGCAAGCAAAGTGATGCACAGCATAGGGATCACAGTTTGAGCAGAAGGCACCTGCCCCTTCCTCAGCTGGAAGGTGGAGGCGCAGGCCTCAAGGACAGGGGCACAGGGACAGCAGAAGCCAGCAGGCCATGCCGGAGTGTCTGGTGTGGCCCAGGCACCATTAGCTGCCTGTGAGGAGCAGCCTTGCTCACTCCAGGGAGGAAATGGGATGCCAACCCCAGAGCCAGCCTTGTGGGCTTGGGTGCCAGCTCTCGGTTTCCGGCTTTGGACCTGGGTTCTCCAACCTCCTCTCTCACTTTTGCCCATGCTGGGACTCGCAGCTCCTGTCCTTAGCTGTGCTCAATTCTGCAGTTTAGTGCCATGTTGGCAGCAGGTGCATGTCCCAGGTGCCCTTCTGCCACGGTCAGGGTCTTGGCTGGCAGAATCTCCTTCCGGCCCCTGGCTCAGCTGAGTGGCTCTGAGTGAGATGCAGCCTCGCTCTGGGCCCCAGCTCCCTGCTTCGTGGGCTGTGCTGGCCACTCCATCTTACGCTCACAGACGCCCAGGACACGGTGACCATGACTGAGGCACGGACTAGGGACATGCCCTTGGCTAGCCAACCAGTCAACAGCACGGCCGGTGTCTGAACCTGACCCTGACTACCAAGGTCCACCACATCTAGAAACCCTGCGATTTGCACAAAGCACACCCACACAGCCCCGCAGCTGGCCAGCCCCTCACCTGCAGTGACGTCACGGTGGACAAGTCCTTTAGTTTCCCTTCTTCATCCTTCAGGTTGTAGCCCTCGGGCCGTTTGTCTCGCTCCGTGATCTTCCATAGCTTGATTGTCTTATCTTTAGGGACCAAGGGGACAAGACCCATAACTCACCTAGCAGCAGTTGGAACCTATCTCAGACACTCACTGAAGGTCATACCCCAAGCGTGACAGTGACATTCCCACATGACGACCACCCAGTGAGCTGCCAGCTTTCCTCAGCCCTCCATGCATGGGCCAAAGGTGACTGAGCGAGCTGCTCCCCTGCCAGGCAGCAACCAGCCACCAATACCCAGCTGCTGGTGGCCTCCCCGCCCTGCAGTTCCAGGGAGCCACTGGATGGTAGGGGATGTGTCCTTCAGGCAAACACACCCTGGACATCGCTATGAAGGACTTTTCAGATGGGACTGAAGTCCATGATCCTCCCAGGCATGGCAGGCCTTACTCACCCAGTGAAGCATGCCCACAGCTCAACAGCAACCTCATGGGCTTATCTGTGGTGGCCAGCGTCTGCCCGGGGCCTCCCACCTGCCCTGCAGACTTGGGACTCACCGAGCCTCTGTGGTCATAGGCACTAAGTCCCTACAGCAAATCTCTCTCTCTCTCTCTCTCTCCACCATCATGGATGAAATTGGGAAGAGCATGGTGGGCATGTCCTCTCTCTGGGTACAAAGGACACAGGGCTGCCCAGGCTCCCGGTCAGCACAATGCCCATGCCAGGTGAGCCAGGCTGGGTAGCCTGGGGCTGCAGGTGGGTGTTGGCATGATGAGCATGCAGTGTGTCCAGTGGCTACTGGGTTTACTAAGGCCAGCCCCCTCGGCCTTATCAGTGCTGTCTACCATTGCCATGAGTGGCTAGTGGTGGCAGTGGGGTGGAACAGCCACAGTGCCAGGCCAGGGGAGTACTGATAAGCACCAGGCTGCTCCTGGTGGGAAGACCAGAAGACTCAAGCCACACGCCCAGGCACCTGCTGCCCGCTGCCAGCGACCGTGACGGCAGGGTGTGGATCTGCTCACCGTTGGTAGACAGGAGCGAGTGGGCAGCGTTCTGCTGCGGGAGCCATTTGATCTTGTTGATCTTCTCCTCTATCTCCAGGCTCTTGAGATAGTCGAACTCAGGCTCGTGGCTCTGGAACGTGCTGTACACGTCGTACTCGCCCTGGCTGTGTGGTGCATTTTTGCTCTGCAAAGAGACCCCCCACCCCAGGGGACAAGGGCTGAGCTCCACGCCTGGACTCGCTGGACTGTGGCGAGGCCACGTTGGGGCGGGGTGGGAGTGTGCATCTGGGACACGGCCGGGACAGTGTATACCTGAGGCGCCCCGAGCCAGAAGGGAGCCGGGAGCCCCAAGCAAGACAGAGGCAAACTGGACCAATGATGACAAGAGGCAGAGGGACAGTGGGGCAGGCAGCTCCTGTCCTGTGAGCCGCTCCCCGGCACAGGGTCACAGCCAGGAGCCAGACCTTAAACTGAGTCTCCCATGCGGGTGGCAAGGACGCAACTAGTTGAGCCATTATGGCGGCACTCCAGGGTCTGCACGGGCATTTGGATGAGGCCATCTTAACCACCAAGCCCAGCAGCTGCCTCCACTCATCCACCTTCACCTTCTGGCTTTCCGGGGGACCCACCATGCCCCAGGCAGCCAGCCACTGCACAGTGAGTGTACCAGGGCCATGTCCCTGGTGTGGGGGACAAGTCCAGCCAATCTGATAACAGGAAACGGGCAGGGTGGAATAACACACTGAGCCAAGCCCAACTTCCAGGTGCTCCACGAATTTTCTGGAAGTCCCAATTTTTCATCTTGCCATCCTTTGTCTTGCTTTCCAAAAGCCTTAAAGCTCTTTGGCGTTTCTGTGGCTTCCCCCTTGACTGAAGTCTGGGCTACTGCCGGTCGGTGGGATCAGAGTGGGAACAGCAAAAGGAGGCTATGAGGAGCTTACAGCCTGGGCTTCAGCCACCTGACCCATCCACACGGGGGTGCGAGCACACCCCATCCCTGCCTGGGATGCACTGGGTCAGCCACCACGGAGCATCCAGATGAGACTTGAGTCATGCTGGGAGCACCAGCCTGTGGCCAGGCTTGTAGAGAGGGTGTGGGGCTGTGAGCAGCCGCTCTTTACTTCGCTCCGCCCCCACCCTGCTCTCACCGGAGTCTCTCAATCTGGTCCCTGGCTGTGGCCACAACCCACTGCCCCCGAGCCAGGCAGGCAGAGGTCCACCCTCCTCCCTGCAACTTGTGTGCACCTGCTGGTGCCTGCTCTCTTTTCTTATCTAGAAAACAGGCCATCCACCTTCACCCTCTGTGGCAGGCACAGAGCACCTGGCCAGGTGTCCACACATAGCAGGTGCCCAGCAAGATCCACCAGGAGGTTCTTTCACTGTCCCAGAAAACCTCCACTAGGCCAGCTGTCCCAGCCAGTCCTCAGACCTCAAGCCTGTTGGACCAGAGACCTGCCAGGGGTTGAGGGTGCATTGTGGGACCAGGGGCACATCAGGTGTGGTCTGAACATACTCCCAGATCAGGGTGAAGTCCCCCTCCATCCCCTGTCAGGCCAAGACAACACCAGATTGCCCGAATAGGGAAAGGGGGATCTGAGGTGTGCAGCTTCCTCCAGGGCTGGACCACAAGCGGTCAACATAGCTTCCCATGTGGAGGACTCAGGGCATGGCCTCGAGTGGACACTCCCAGCCTGGGCAAACCCATCCCCTCCCCTCTTTAGGGGTAAAGGGGACACTCAGGACAGAATCCTAGTTACTGGCCCCACTGGAAGTTCCTGCCCCTCCACCTGCTCCCAGATGACCCCGCATACAGACCCCACCCACTAGCCCCACCCCTGCAGATCGCGCTTCCCCCAGCTCTTCCCACCCTCCCACTTCGCCTCACACCTCTGGTTCCCGCTGGAAGATGACAACCCTGCCGCCCTTGTCGCCAGTGGCCAGCAGCTCCCCGGTGTGGTTGAACTCGACGGTGGAGATAATGTCAGCTGGGAGAGAGACGATAAAGCAGTGCTGTTAGCATTGGGCTCAGCAGTAGCTGAGACTTCGCCCCGGTATACCCCATTCCTCCCCTGCAGGCAGACACCTGTTTCAGGGATGTGTCCCTCTGTCTCTATCCCTCCAGGATGCAAGCAGGCAGGTCCTCAACGGCTAACAGGTGACTGGACACAAACCTGCCCCTCCCTAATCTTCCTGCCCATGCCAGCTCACAGCCCACTGGCCTGGGCTGCTAGGGGTGGGGGAGGGGATCTGGGCGAGAAGAGCCATTCCAGTGACTGGCGTGGGGAGGGATGCTGGGGGCAGGAACAGCCCAGATCAGGGTCCCCATGCAGCGTCTACCCTGGATCTTTGGGGAATGAGGGCCTGACCCATCCTCAAGCAGTCACCAGGAGAAAACAAGGCAGGCCCAGTGACCAGGGATCCTACAGCACTTCGTGCTCCTTAGAGACCGAGGGCAGTGTCTGAAGTCACCCAGGCACTGCCCCACCTGCCCACCGTGAAGCCCCTCGCTCTGGCCAGCCCTGCTCACACCTCTGAGGACCAACAAGCGTCTCTCTCCCAGCTTGGGGCCCCTCCCGCACAAGGTTGGAGGTGAAGTCCCCTCTCGCTTCCAGCAGGCCCCTGGGATCTCCACAGCCGAAGCCTGGCGAGGCTGCACTCTCCTCTGCCTGCCCCTGCACCTGTCCCTCCCCATCCTTTTCTGCTGACCAGAAGCTGACCACGCACCTGGGCCTTTCCCCACCCAGGGTTTGATCTGTTGGTGTTTGGAGAAAACCAACAGCCCCATGCCACGCCCCACTCCCTGCACCTGGGAGCAGAGGGGCTCCTCTCCTGTACCACATGCCAGGGTTCTGAAGGTCACAGAGATGACAGGCCAGCCCCGAGGACAGGGACATCGCCCCTTCTGGGGACTGAACCTGCATAGAGCACGATTCTGCAGCTTGAAGCTTTGCTGCAGCCTCCCCGCCCCAAATGAATTCATGCCTGACATCTGCAAAAAGAATGTGTCCTGTGCACACTCAAATATCCAGGAGGCCTTGACATATGGAAGGTTCTAGAACACCTCCCCAACAGGCTGCAGCAGCCATGGTTGGGCAGGAGCAGACGGAGCCAATCTTTGTAAACTTTATGGTTCTGCCTATGCTTGGCCTGAATGAAGCAGGCGCCCAAATCCCCAGCCCCGGCTTTTCAGCCAGCTGTGGGTCAGGGGGCACAGATGGCCACCCCAGCCCCACCTCTATTTCCCAATGGACAGCAGCTGCATCCCAGGGCTCTCTGCTCAGAGCCGTGCAGTGCTCCGTCCACCCCTCTGTGGAGTTGCACCTGTCCCACCCAATCAGCAGCACTGATGCCACCATTTGCCCCACCCTTGCTGGAGGCTGCACCCCTACAGTTGGCCTCTCCAGGCTCCCTCCCTGTCCTGGCAGCCTCAGCTTCCCTTCCAAGCCTCCAAGGGTCTCAGGTGCTCTGGAAGCCCCTCCGAGCACCTGCAGCCTTCTCCTTGGGACACGGCAGCACATCCCACCAAGGGCAGGGAAAATCTGCCCACCCCCATTGACTCCGAGCGGGCCCCTGGAGTTCACTGGAGCCCCCTGCACCCTGGCCCTCTGCCGGGAGGAGAGCAGAAAGGTGGGGGGCGGCGGACTAGTGTCGCCCAGGGGCCAGCCGGTCCTGTGCAAGGCAGAGACCCAACCCGGCCCAGCTGATTACAGAATCTGCAGGTTGAGACCAACATGTTGATGTCTCCCAGAGGTTCTTTTATGTTTTGTTTATTTTGTATTTGAAAGGCAGAGCTACAGAGAGAGAAGAAAAGACACAGAGAGAATCTCCCAACACTGGTTCACTCCCCAGATGGGCCGGTTTGAAACTGGGAGCCAGGAGCTTCCTCCAGTTTCCCATGTGGGCGCAGGGGCCCAAGCACTTGAGCCATCTTTGACTACTTTCCCGGGTAATTAGGAGGAAGCTAGATCAGTGGCGCAGTCAGGACTCAAACTGGTGCCCATATGAGGATGCTGCCACTGCAGGCAGAGGCTTGGCCTACACTTCCATGGCTCTGGCTCCTGTTCTTTGTCTAACTCATCAAACAATAACTTTTGACCCTTGGCAGCAGTGGTGGGCAGCCTCGGATGGGGCCTGCCTGGGGTGTTCTTGACCCTACATGACCAGCAGTGGCATTGGTGACCCCAAATCAGGCAGGCCAGGTGCCAATGGCACTGGGCGAAGCACTTGGGCCACCCAGCAGCATGCTCTGGGCACGTGGCGGTGTGGGCTTACAGAGGGCCTGAAGTATGGCACAAGTCAGGGCAAGTGGGAAACTGAGGGTTCATGGCCAGGTGAAAATCACTACTGAGGGTCCTCCATGGACAAGCCCACTGCACCTGCAGGTAACAAGGGGGCTGAGACCTGAGCGGACTGCCGGGGAGAATGAGGCCCTTTAAGGGTCAGGAAGAAAAACCAGCATACGTGGGAGACCTGAGCTGGGATAGCCAGCAGCGAACGTCACTGAATATCGCTTACTAACACACATTTCAGCTGGAGGCCGATCTGCAGGGTTAGATCACAGCAACCACCAGTGAGTTGGACATGGGGCAGGCAATGTTAGGCTGGCCGTGATGCTAACAGCAAGTGAGAGAAGCAGGTCTGGCGGCAGAATCTGTTGGGGATGGGTATGTGGGCTCATACTGTGAAACTGCAATTGCCACTTGCACAAGACCTGAGGCTGGGAGCAATCCTGCTTGGGGAGCTAAAGGGACAACCTGGCAGGGTTGGCGTTCCCACTGGTGAGCACGAGAACTGGAATGGAGGCAGTGGGCTGGCATGGACATGGCTGCAACCTCCCTTGGCGTGGGTGTGGACTGGGTCTGGGGAGTGCCAGACTGGGCTAGACTCCAGCACCCACGGTACTCGTGCGAGCCAGGGTGGGTGCTGAATGGGCTGGGCTAAGTCTCACTGGGACTCATGAGAGCAGCATCTGGGTGTGAACCAGGTGGGCTGTGCTGTAACACACAGCAATGAGAACCGGAAAGGGTGTGGGCCAGTTTGACAAGGATGCTGTTCCTACCAGCACAAGAGGTGGACTAAGTCAGCCTGGGACAAGGACCCACCAGTGTGTGCGACATCTGCCACTTGGAGGAGATCTGATGGAAGATCTTGTGGAACTCCTTTGTCAGGACTCAGTCCCTGCAGGTGAGCTCAAGAATCGGCAAGGAGCACACCAGACCCTGCCAGGTTACAGTACCTGCCAGCACACCTGTGGCTCAGGCCTGGGGGCCAGACCAGGTGGCGATCTGAGAATCATGACGGGGTACAGGACAAGCCAGATCGAGTGGCAACTCCAACCCCTCCAAATTAGGGTCAGGACTGGGTGCTGGCTGGCCTGGATGAGGCTGTAGCACACACCAGCAAGAGCTGGAACTGCACACAAGCTGACGGAGCCAGGGTGAAGCAGCCACTGGTGGATGCTGAGCTGAGGTAAGCCAGGCACGGTGGGTGCCAGGTCCGTGAGCCCTGGGCCAGGGCTTCCAGCAGCCCCAGCCCACCTGGCCCAGGTCATCACGCCCCCCTGGCCCACCTGTGAGACCTTGTTCTACTCAGTGGGAAAGATGGAGCATGCCCAGATACACATGGAGGATATGGCAACCCATTGCAGCCTGCAGAGGACAGCTGGTACCATAGCAGAGGAAGGGAAACAGAGCAAATTGGACAAATACCCCAGCCAAAGGATGACAGCAAAACCTAGGCGAATACTCTAAGGCCAACTGTGTCAGCCCACGCACACTGCAACGGTTTCCTCATCCTTGGATCAGCAAGATCGACAGCATTTCAGAACTACCAAACACACCTGGGCAGGACCCTCAGAGTGTGTGTCTCATCGGGACCCTAGGTTGATGCTGGGTGACGTTCCCCACCGCTGGGCACTGGGCGGCTGCGAGGCTGAGTATGCCTTCCCCTTCTCTCTCCCCTCCTCCAGATACAGGAAGAAGAAATAGAAACTTTGGAAACAATGATCACACCTGCTTCCTGACCCCTGATCCTTCCCACTCCGATCAACTGTGTAAATGTCATCTAAAATTTTAAAATGTTTAAATAAAATATAGAACTGGAGAATTCTTTAAAAATTGTAACTGTCCCCTCTTTGTCCCATTCCCTGCCCTTCCATATTCGGCCCTTGTTGAGCTCCAGCTCCTGGCCTTCCCCCAAGCCTTCCTTCCTGGCATCCAGTCTTTGCCTATAGTGGGCGCCTCCCAGGTCACGGCCCTCTTCCTGCACTCCTTGGCAATGCCTCCCAGCTGCTGCCTTCTCCTGGGCCCTACGTGGGTTTGCTGTCCATGCCCAGCACCTCCTGAACCACCATGACTCCCCCTGACTTATTCTTCCAAAGCTTTTCCTATCTGTCGGCCATCTCCACACACACTGACCAGACGCAGAGCTCTGAGGGCAGGCTTCCATCCTTTTCCTTTCACCTGCTGGTGCTAAGGACAGGGAACGCCCTGTGGAGAGAACTCCTGGCCTGCACTCGCTTGAGCCATGGGTCAGTGTCCGGGGAGGGAGGATAGGTGCAGATCTAGAAGCACGGGGCATGTCTAGTTGGCTGCCTGCCATCCCAGGGCCTTCCCCTTGCCTGGCCCTGCCCCTTAGAGGGCACAGCAGAGGGCACAGAGGGCAGAGGGCACAGCCACAGCACACTGGGTTCCCTCCACAGCAGGTGCAGCACAAATGGGTTCCACCCTGTGCTGACTTTGGCTGGAAGATGCTGTCTGCTCCAGGTCTCTTTCCCAGCCACTACCGCTTGATCCTGCTGCTCCAAGGGGCACAGCTCATCCCAGCACCTGCCCCTTCTCCTAGCTCACGTCCACAATGGCCAGAGACTCTCTCACTGTGCTCAGTTCCAACAGCATTGTTTCCACAGTGGCACAGGAAGAGTACAGGGGCTGGAGTGAGGCATGTCCCCTAGGGAGTCCCAGCTTCATTTCTGACCCAGCTTCTC